TTAGTTCTTGAATTTACAAACAGCATATTTTTGTAGTTTGACAATCATGACAGAAAGAAAAAGGTATGTGTTAGTGTCTACAGCCACTGCTACAGGATGATAGATTCCAAGGTAGGAGAATCAATGATCAAAGTCTGTCTCCTGCCTGGCAGAAAATTGGGATTTCCAGGGGCTGGAAGAAGATGTAAATCACTCCCATATTATTAAGCTGTTTTTATTGTGAAATGTAACAGATACAAATAAATGGATAACATGTAAACTTACAGGTTAACAAATGATGATTAAAAACAGATCTATGTAACCTCCATCCAGATCAAGAAAGAGATCTTGACCAGGACCCCTGAACCCCTCTCATACCTCCTCCCTATCCCAATCTCCTCCCTGCTCGCAGGAGCCATATCCTGGCTTACATGGAAATTAGGTCTTTGCTTTTATGGAAATGGGATTGTATAGCATGTTAGGTTTGTGTCTCTCAACTTTGTATTGTGAGACAAGCTTTTTGCCTTGTGAGATTTCTCTGTATTGTCATGTGTAGCAATATTCATTCTTCCTCACTGATCTGTAGTATTTCACTGTATAAATACACCACCGTTTATCCATCCTACTGTTGATGGACATTTGTGTGGCTTCTTATTTTAGACTATTACACATTCTCTTGACAAGAACTTTCTTGTGGATGCTCTTTGATACACACATGCACTTGTTTCTCCTGGGCATATACCTAGGAGCAGAATTGTTGGATTAGAGAGTTATGTGCAGCTTCAATCCATATCCTACAAAGTTACTGATACAGCCCACAATTTGATTAGCATTTTGAATTTATGGATCAAGTTGGTGACGATGAACATCTTTACAATACCAAATCTTCCAGTCTACAAACATGGTGTATCCCTGTATTTATTTGTCTTATTAATTTTTTTTAATATTGCTTTGTAGTTTATACCCTCAGGTGAAATGTTTGCTATAGATTTTTTCAGATTAAGGAAGTTTCCTTCCATTTCCTATTTTGCTAAGAGTGTTTCTTCTGCATGGAAATTACAATTTGTGAAATACTTTTTTCTTCATTTATTCCCATAATTAACATTATACTTTTCAGCTTTATTTTATTAATATGGCAAATTGTATTAATTTGGATAATGCCTGGTGGTTCAGACAGTAAAGAATCTGCTTGCAGTATGGGAGACCCGGGTTCAGTCCCTGGGTTGGGAAGATCCCCTGGAGAAGGGAGTGGCAGCTCACTCCAGTATTCTTGCCTAGAGAACTCCATGGACAGAGGAGCCCGGTGGGCTATAGTCCTTGGAGTCACAAAGAGTCAGACAGAGCTGAGTGACTGACACCTTCATTTTTTTTCATTAAGTGCATACAAATTTAGAAACTTTACATCTTTCTGGTGAATTAAACCTTTTGGTATTATGAACTGCTCCCCTTTCTCTCTAGAGGAACTTTTTTTTTTCCTAAAGACTGTTTTATCTACTATTAATGCAGCAAAAGTGACCCTGTGTTTATTAAGTGCTAGTTATAGTCTCATTCATTCATTGTTAGAAAAAATCATCTAAAAGCATCATGGTTAGATCATGCGTGGTAAAGCCTGGCCACCGGGGCCCTGTGGGTGAACTAACACAGTTTATTTAACCTCTCTTTCACATGTACAGATGAAGCCTCTGTTTCATCATCTGTAAATTTGTTGCATCAGTTTTGAGAGCTTTCTCATCCACTGTCACTTCAAATATGACTTCTGTCTGAACTCTCCCTTCCTTCTTTTAGGGACTCCAGTTAAACATGTGGGACTTTCTCACTGTATCCTTTAGCCTTCATCTTCTCCTCCATGTTTAACATCCTTTAGTCTCTCTTTACTTTGTCCTGGATTTTCTCCTGATCTGTCTTCCTGTACTTATTCTCTCTTCAACTGCATCTAAACTGCAGTGAAACCTTTGCATTGGGTTCCTATTATTAGATAGTGTTCTTCAATTCTAGAAGTTCTAATTTTTTGTTAAAAAGAAAAACAAAACTAAATAGCATTACTTTTTGTAATCTCCAGGTCTTTGCTTTAAGGCTGAAGAGTGGCGTTTAAAATCAGAAGCATAGTGAGCATCAGCCCTAAAGCCTGTGTACTGTGCGCTCCAGACAGCCTGTGGGTTCACGTGTCTGTTGTTTGTGTAGATCTTTGGGCATGGTCTTGTCTCCTTGTGTTCCCTCCTTGTATTCTCATCTCCTGTGTACTTCTTATACACACGTGTATTTTTCACGGTATGCCTTATCTCAGATTTGCACATTATTTATAAAAATATTTTCAGGCATACAGTGATGTTCTCCTTTACCAAAGAAGATTTTTTTCCTTTGCTTCTGCCAGATGACTGGGTCTCGAATGATCCAGAATCTCCTTAATTCAATACCTAAACTTGAAATACGCTGGGCCACCCACATGAAACAGACTCCAGGTTGCTGTGTGTTTAAACCTGTCAGAACTGATTTCTTTCCATTTCACTCATATTTCTGTATCGCAGCTTTTGGGTTCCCAATCCTTGGCGCGGAATGGTTTACCCAGGCCCCAACTCATGGTGAGCCATTAACTCCACCTTCTGTCCCTTCGACTACTGGAGGCTGACCAGGGTCCATCAGCTGTGCAGGCATGTCCCTTGGATTGACCTACACCCTGTATATAAATGGAGCCCAGAGGCTGGGCATGCTTCTCTGATGCCGTCTTCTCCCAGATCTTGGACTCTATACTCTATACTACCTTGTTAGCTCTTTGGGACTTTTTTGATGGTTTAATAAACATTTTGTCCAGCTTTTTAAAAACACTCATCCTCAGTGATAAAAACTGGTTCAAATTACCTGGCTGGCCACTATCAAAAGTAGGATCTCTAAGTCTTTTTTTTTTTTCTCTCTCTCTCTTTTCTTTTTTTTTTTTCTTTTATTTTTCTAAGTCTTTTAAAAGGCTGTAGATCCTTTATGCCCCTGTCATGGGCACTTTATTCCAAACAAAGTTCAGTGTGACCATGTGCTTTTTAGAGCATGGTAGTCATTGAGTTTGGCCTTCCAAGGTATCTTGGCGGTAAAGAATCCACCTGCCAATGCAGGGGATGCTGGAGACTTGGGTTCGATCCCTGGGTCAGAAAGGTCCTCTGGAGGGGGAAATGGCAACCCATGACAGTATTCTTGTCTGGATAACCCCATGGACAGAGAAGCCTGGGGGCTACAGTCCATGGGGTCACTAAGAGTCAGACACAACTGAGCATGCACTCGTGAGTCATTGGGTTTAATTAACATGGAGTTAAATTTAACTTCTATTCATTGAGCCCACCAAGTAGGAGCTAGGTACACCAGATGAAATGGTAAGAATTTTTTTTCCAAAACCAAACAAACAAACAAACAATTATCCTCATACCACACAAGTTAGGAGCATGAGTCCAATAGTCCAATAGTCAGAATCCACCCTCTACAGATGTCCAGCTACTTCTCTTCTTTGGGTCTTATTTTTCTTGTCTATAAAATAATGTTAATTCTAATAGAACATCTACATTGGACTATCAGAAGGATGAATGAGATTATGCAAGAAATGTGTTTATGACACTCTGGCACACAGTCAGAATTCATAATTAATAACAATTTTAATATTATTACCTGATATCTGCCAGGTGCTTTTCTAGGCGCTGTAGATGCTAAAGTAATAAGACTTTGTTCTTGAGAAACCTCATGGTCTAGTCCATGAAAAGAATAATCAAACAACTAGTGGCCATAAAAAGCTCTGTGGTCAGGAGGCCTGTTGGAAGAGGAGACCTCAAATAGAGTTTGGAGCACGTGTGGGGAGCTCCTAAGTGGAGAAGGAGGAATGGGCATTCTGCCTCCTATTGGTGTGTGATGCATTCAGAAACTGCAGCCAGGTGCCTGGTCTGGGAGGGTGTGAGACGTAGGTACAGAGTATGATGCAGCCACTCTCAGGCAGTTGTGGTCCAGGAGGAATGACAGGTGAATTGCAGTTTTGATGCCCTGGTGGGGCTAACCAAAGAGCCGCAGGAGCCCAGGGTCGGAAGTGCCCTTGTTAGTCTGAGTGGCCCAGGCAGGGCTTCACAGGGAAGGGATTTTTTCGTAGAGGGTCTGCAGGATGAAGAGGAGTCCATTTCAGATGTGAAAGTGCCTGGAGGTGGGGCAAAGTGTAGAGGCTTGCGAAGTATCTGTATAATGAAACATGCAATGAGATGTCATTTATGTGAATTAACAGGCACACCAAAAGACATATTTGTGGACATCATATATAGTGAAAGCATAGACATCTAAATTGGAGACAGAGATGCTGAATTCATGGGGATGGCTGATTCTGAGGAGGCTAGGTGGGAGGGGAGAAGAATTACAGAGGGAACTTAAAGGATTCCAACTTATCCTGCAAGTTTTAGTGTTTTTAATCTGGGGGGGACAAAAGACAACTGAATGGTGGATTCAGAAAGTTTAATATATTATTATCTATATGTTTTTATTTTTCACAATTAAAAAGATACATTTTTAGAGAGAGAATGGAGTGGGGAAGGTGGGATGAAGGAACAGAATGGTGAGTAAGGAGTCAGGACCGCCCTGAAGCCCTGCTGGTTAATTCTGATTGCAATGGAAAGAGAAGCCCTCCAAGGTATTTGAACTGGAAATGAAAGAGCTGTGCTTCTGCAAATAACTCACCTAAGTGTGGAGGATGGAGGGAGGCAGGGAGACCAGGGAGGGGTTGTGAACCTAATCTGGATGGAGGTTTAGAGGAGATGCCAGTGAGTAAGGGCTCACTGGGTCAAGGTGGTAGGTCTGGGGCTTGACTAGGTGCGGGTGAGAGGGCTGGAAGGCAGCCGGTATTTCCCAAGACTTTGCGAGTGTGTGTTTGTGCGCATGCGCATGTGCACACACGTGTGTGATTGGGCAATTTCCTTCGCTGGATTTCCTCTGTGTCTTGTGGGGAGACCTTGGTCCTGCCCGGGGCAAGACCACAACTTGTAACACCGTCTTGTGGCTCTCGGTTTCAGGAGCTGTACCGCAGTACCATGGAAACTTTCCAGAAGTTCGCCGACATCCTGTTCCTGCAGACGCTCCCCCGTGTGACCGACCTCTCCCAGGCAGAGTGTGAATACCTGAGGCAGGAGGCCCAGGAGAACTCGACTCGGCAGCTGGAGAAGTCGGACCGCTTCCGGAGCCAGCAGTGGAAACTCTTCCAGGATCTCTTAGAGCAGGAAAAGCAGGTGTGGCATTTTGTAAAACTGGGTCTAGAGTCTGCGTTTTTCATTAACATTGGAAGGATAATGAGGCATTTCTTTCACTGAGCATCCCCGAGTGCCTGTGCTGAGTGCTTTATCAAGATTCTGGTTGCCAGCCTTTCACAACGGCCGGCTGGGTGGGCTGGGATGGGAGGGGGAGAAGAGAGCAGACCCCTCCTCGCCCAGTGTAGGAAGTCAGGAGATGATGCCCAGAGCCTGTTCTTTAGAACAGAAGTAAATGGCAGAAGGTAGTTCTTCAAGGGAGTGGACTGAGGGAGGGGTGGGAGGGGCTGCACTCTGGGGACTCCTATTTTTCAGTGAAAGTCTGTTTCATCATTAAAACCATACACTGGCCACCTGATGTGATGAACTGACTCATTGGAAAAGACCCTGATGTTGGGAAAGATTGAGGGCAGGAGGAGAAGAGGGCAACAGACCATGAGACAGTTGGATGGCATCCCTGACTCAATGGACATGAGTTTGAGAAAACTCTGGGAGATAGCGAAGGACGGGGAAGCCTGGTGTGCTGCAGTCCACGGGGTCGCAAAGTCAGACACGACTGAGCAACTGAACAATAATATGTGTGGTAGACAGAATAATGCCCCTACATCCTAATAACCAGAACCTGTGAACATGTTACCTAACAGGGCAAAGAGGACCTTGCAGGTGCAATTAAATTAAGGATTTGGGGACATGAAGATTATTCTGAATTATCTGAGTGGCCAGTGTAATCACAAGGGTCCTTTTAAGAGGGAAGGAGGATGGTCAGAGTCAGAGGAGATGTGATGTCCTGAACAGAGGCTGGAAGGATGTGAGCATCAGCCAAGGAATGGGAGTGCCCTCAAGGAGCTGAAAAAGGCAAGGAACAGATTCCATTCCCACCCAGAGCCTCCAGAAGGAAAACAGTCCTGTTCCTTTCATTCCAGACTCACCTCCAGAACTGTAAGCTACTAAATTTGTGTTGTTTGAAGCCAGAGTTTGTGGTGCTATGTTACAACAGCCATAGGAAGCTAATATACATCAGTTTGGAGAAGGAAATGGCAACCCACTCCAGTCCTCTTGCCTGGAAAATCCCATGGCCGGAGAAGCCTGGTAGACTACGGTCCATGGGGTCGCTAAGAGTCGGACATGACTGAGCGACTTCACTTCACCAACTTTGCTCACTTCTTATTTTATCACTGGAGAAGGAAATGGCAACCCACTCCAGTATTCTTGCCTGGAAAATCCCATGGACAGAGGAGCCTGGTGAACCATGGTCCATGGGTCGCAGAGGGTCGGACACACCTGAAGTGACTAAGCAGAGCAGAGAGATACATCAATTTTATTTTTTAAAAATTAAAAATCCTTTCTCTCTTGCTTTCCTGCATGCTAGAGGCTGCACAACTAACATCCTCAATATCCCAGTTTCTAGAAGTGACTGCATTGACAGAGTTCTAACCTATGAGACAAGGTGTGATACCTGCAGGGAGCTTCTGTTCACTAATACAAAAGTCATGTGTTGCTGGAAAACATCTTCCTCTTTAGCATTTCTTGTTCTTCCTACCCAGAGCAGGCATGGGGGTACTGGAGGACTGCTGGCCTTCCTTTGACTCAGAGACAAGATGAAGGAGGGTGGGGCAGAGAGGCGGACTGTCCCAGCCCTAGACCGCCCACCCCTAGGTGCTGGTTATGAGAAATGTCATGTCTTTTTCAGTTGAGTGTTCCATTAGTTAGAAATGAGTTCTCAATGTATGCATGTGATAGAAGTTTTCCAAAGAAAGTAACGGAAGCTGTCCAAACTACTAATAAGTCAATGGGAGCACCACGCAAACACAGGGCCTTTCCCTCTGGGTGGGCACAGGTCTTTTTACCTGCTGGTCCAGTTTATTAGATCTCCTTCTAATTAATTTCAGTCTGCCGTCAGCTTCATCTGTTGTCCTCTGACCCGTAGTAGTCTCCTGCATATGTGCCTGGTAGGTCCTAGAGGGCAGTAGCCTTGATTTTCTTATTTCACCTCCTTATTCAAAACCCACTAGCTGGGACATAGCAAATGCTTAAGAAAACTTCGCTGCATTACCAGGGATAATATGCAGCTTTGGAAATTAGCACAGGATCACCAGGGCATGTACATGAAGCTGAATTCCTCCAATTCATACCAATCCCAGATCCCAGGCCATATCATTTGCCATCTCTGGAGAAGCAGGGGGGAACCTGGGCCTCGGTGGTTTGGAAAGCTCACCAGATGAATCTAAAGTGCCTCTGATGTTGGCTCCCCAAGTGGGGGTCAGGCCTTTTAGAGGCAGTTGTGGTTTGCAGACAGGCTTCTACCCTTGGAAGCTGAATGCCTGCATTTGAAGCAGGGCAGCCACGTTAATGGGCTCCCCTGGTGGCTCAGTGGTAATGAATCCAGCTGCCAGTGCAGGAGGTGCCAGAGAAATGGATTCGATCCCTGGGTCGGGAAGATTCCTTGGAGAAGGGCATAGCAACCCACTCCAGTATTCTTGCCCTGAGATAGAGGAGCCTGGCAGGCTATGGTCCATGGGGTCTAAAAGAGTAACATGACTGAAGCGACTTGGCCCACATGCGTGGGCCCATTAATGAGCTTTAATGGGCCCATTAGTGGCCCATTAGTGGGCTTCCCTGGTGCCTCAGTGGTAAAGAATCCGCTTGCCAACATAGGAGATGCAAGTGCAATCCCTGGGTCTGGAAGAGCCCCTGGAGAAGGAAGTGGCAACCCACTCCAGTATTCTTGCCTGGAGAGTTCCATGGACAGAGGAGCCTGGCAGGCTACAGTCTGTGGGGTCACAGAGGAGTTGGACGCGACTTAGAGACAAAACAACAGCAATGGCATTAATGGGCTGAGTGACTTTAGCCAGTTAGCTGACCTCCCACAACTCTGTGATTTTGTACAACTTGCTGAATTTCTATGAATCTCAGCTTACATGTGGAAAATCTGGATCAAAATACCCTACATGGTTGCTGCAAGGTAATGCAGGCAAATGCAGACTAAGACCTTTGCACTGTATCTGTTTAATCACTTCATAACATTGATATTGAAAAAATTTCAGAATTTCAGTTCTGACAAATTATTAGCAAAGACTTATGATTCACCCAAAAACCTCTAATTATGAATCTTTTATTTTAAGCAGATATCAGACAGTGCCTAGATTCTGGGTTTTATTTTTTATTCATTTACTTTGTGAGCATATGCCTGTATGTGAATTTTCCTATGTTTTGCAGAAGTATTTTGAAAGGAGTTTTGCATGCAAGAAGCTAACAGGAAGGTTAATGACCTCATCAACTGATTAAATAAATATGACCCAAGACTGCTTTCTCAAAGTGTGTATGTCAAAATTAATTTACTGATTGATTGTTTAATTGCCTTAAATTACCATAAGATATTTAGAGATCCATATTCTCTCCCACTTCCCATATTTCCTTGTTGATGAAAATGAGAGATGAACTTTCTGTGGTCGAGATGAATATTTAGTCATGAGAAGAAAAGGACCGACAAAACCCTTCATGGAAAATCAAACACACACCCAGACTATAAAATTCATTTTCCACCTATTTTCTAGGTAAAAGGTCTTGGTGATTTCATGCCCCATTGCTCAGGGAAGTTGTTAAATATTGTAGATTTTGTTAGTTACACAATTGGAAAAGGATGTAGAATAGTGGTCCTCAAAGTGTGATCCATTCTCATGTGTGGGCTTCTCCCCAGTCTGCTGGGTTAGGCAGAAAGATGCCTAGTGTCCCCTCAAGGATGTCCTCGTCCTAATTCCCAAAAGCTGTGAATGTTACCTCACTGACATGGCAAAGGGACTTTGCAGATGGGAAGTAAGTTAAGAATCTTGAGATGGGGAGATTATCCTGATTGTGCAGGTGGACCCAAGATAATTACTGCTATGGGGTGTGTCATTTGCAAACATCTCCCATTCAGTGGGCAGCCTTTTCATTTTGTTGATAGTTTCCTTCAGCGTGCAAAATCTTTTTAGTTTCATTTAGTCCCATTTGCTCATTTTTGCTTCCGTTTCCTTTGACTGAGGAGACATGGATGGGTGGTGGTGCTCAGTCATGTCTGACTCTTTGTGACCCCTGGACCATAGTCTGCCAGGCTCTTCTGTCCATGGAATTTTCCAAGCAAGTAAGTATATTAGAGTGGGTTGCCATTTCCTCCTCCAGGGGATTTTCCCAACACAGGGATTGAACCCAAGTTTCCTGGTTGGGAGGTGGATTCTTTATCACTGAGCCACCTGGGAAGCCCCCTGAGGAGACATATCCAAAAAAACACTCCTAAGACCACTGGTGAGTGAGGCTGGTCTTGGGGCTAGTGCCAGGCCACCGGTTGATGGGCAGGGTCGGGTCCTGGGCCAGCTGGGGGCTCTCCAGCCCTAAGGCAGTTGGCCTGCTGGTGAGTGGACTCGTGTCCTTGCCTGCCTAGATGCTTCACCTAAGGTGCCCCAGTATTGGTGCTGCCAGGCTGGTGGGCGAGGCGGGACCCCTTTGCTCATAAGCCAGAGCGGGGATTCAGAAAGAGTGCTTCCGAGCACGTGCCCTCATGGTAGAAAGTGTTAGTTGCTCACTCGTGTCCGACTCTCTGTGACCCCATGGACTGTAGCCTACCAGGCTCCTCCATCCGGGGGATTCTCCAGGGAAGGATACTGGAGTGAGTTGCCATTTCCTTCTCCAGAGGATCTTCCTGACCCAGGGATCGAACCTGGGTCTCCTGCATGGCAGACAAATTCTCCGCCGCTTTTGTGGTAGAGAGAGCCCCCCCAAATGCCTGCTGCCAGCACCTCTCTCCCCAGACGGAGCTGTGGTTTCCTCCTGCCTCTCTGGGAGGCACTCTAAGATCATCAGGTAGATCTGACCCAGGATTCTTTCAAATGACTGCTTCTTCCCCGGGTCCTGGACCTCGTGAGATTTTGTGTGCAGCCTTTGAGGATGGATCTCTGTTTCCTATGGTCATTTGGTTCACCCGCATATAAGCCCTGCAGATCTTCAAAGCCAAATGTTCTTAGGGTTCATCTTCCTAGTGCAGGACCCCTGGGTTGGGGAGCTTTGGACCCCTCACTGTTTGGGGAGAACCAATGCAATAGTAATTATCCTCCTGTTTGGGGGTCCCCCACCTGTAATTATGGGACTTGACTATACGCTGACCCTGTCCCTTCTACCCTTCTCATTGTGGTTTCTTCTTTTTTTTAATCTGGTGTTTTTTCAGTTGGAATATAGCTGCATTACAGTGTTGTCTTGGTTTCTTGGTTTCGCATATCATATATGGTTTCACATATATGATAATGTGAATCAGCCATATAGGTATTCATATATCTCCTCCCTCTGAGCCTCCCACCCCCCTCCCCATCCCACCCCTCTAGGTCATCACAGCTGAGCTCCATGTACTGAACAGGAACTTCCCATTCTTCTTTGTACCATTGGTTGTAGATTTTTTTTTTTCTGCTGCTCTTCAGGTCATTCTCATCAATAGTTGCTCTGTGAAGAGTTGTAATTTCAATGTGCCAGTGGGAGGAGGTGGGCTCAGGGTCTTCCTATTCTGCCATCTTGACCCCTCCCTCCTCCAGAGGGAATGTATTTCCCACTCATTTTTAAGATGCAGATTTAGTCACATTTTAACATCTCTAAAACTGAGATGCTTCTTAATTTAATTGGCAGTGATTTTTCTCTCTGCGTGGGTCCTAAAATAACTGTGCATTTCATAATCACTGGCACATTAGACTTGATAAAAGATACTATGCCACATCAATTCGTTTCTCCGCTCATTTCATGCAGTGTAAAAGCCAGAGGCCCTATCCTGCCCTGCGCGGCCCCACACGTCAGGAGTTGACTCCCTCCCTCTCCTCCCTGTCTCCCCTCTCACTCCACTCTCGCCTCCCTGGTCTGCCTCGAGCTCCCAGCACTCCTGCCTCGTTTGTCCTGCTTAACGACTTTCTCCCAAGCCACCTTCACCCTGAGACCTTCTCTGACCGTGCTTTTCAGCCTGCAGCGCCTGCCTCCCCGCAGCACGCCAGGGTTTGCCTGAGGTGTTGACTTCACCTCCTGCCTCGCTTCTAAACCCACCTGCCTTATAGGAGGCCTTCCCTGGTGGCTCAGATAGTAAAGAGTCTGGCTGCAGTTCGGGAGGCCTGGGTTCGATCCCTGGGTCGGGAAGATCCCCTGGAAAAGGAAATGGCAACCCATTCTAGTATTCTTGCCTGGAAAATCCTGTGGATACCAGGCATGTGCTGACTGGTTCCTTTTCCCTTTCTCTCCTTAGTCAATGAAACTTTGAAACAATAGTAACCATGTTGGAAACCACAAAATGACCCAGTAGCACTTAACAGGGTCAACACTCTAGCCCAGGGAAGCCGCTCTTTGGTTCTAAGTTCAAACATTCATGAACTTGCCTTCAATAATGTTAAAGAAATGGTGTGACCACTTTGGGCACCATCTGGTTGGATGATCTCTGTTCTCTTGACCATCTTTGGATCCTGTCGCTGGCTTTATCTGTGTTTTCAAAACACACACCAAAGACTCCTATGTACTTTGGTGATACTGTTAGTTTACCTTTTAGGGAATCTAGACTGTGTCAAATTTTCTAGTGTTCTGATTTCCTAAGCACTTTGACAGGTTATTGTAGAGTTCTCACAAAACACATTAGAGACTGGCTTTAACAAACAGTTCTAACACAGTGTGATTTTGTGTGATTAAGTATAAGTACTTTAAATCACAAGGCCCAGAGAACTGAAGCCTAAGCTGCTTCAGTTCAGTCAGTCAGTTCAGTTGCTCAGTCGTGTCTGACTCTTTGCGACCCCATGAATCGCAGCACGCCAGGCCTCCCTGTCCATCACCAACCCCCGGAGTTTACTCAAACTCATGTCCATTGAGTCAGTGATGCCATCCAGCCATCTCATCCTCTGTCATCCCCTTCTCCTCCTGCCCCCAATCCCTCCCAGCATCAGGATCTTTTCAAATGAGTCAACTCTTCACATCAGGTGGCCAAAGTATTGGAGTTTCAGCTTCAGCATCAGTCCTTTAATGAACACCCAGGACTGAGCTCCTTTAGGATGGACTGGTTGGATCTCCTTGCCGTCCAAGGGATTCTCAAGTCTTCTCCAGCACCACAGTTCAAAAGCATCAATTCTTTGGCGCTCAGCTTTCTTCACAGTCCAACTCTCTCATCCATACATGACCACTGGAAAACCATAGCCTTGACTAGACAGACCTTTGTTGGCAAAGTAATGTCTCTGCTTTTTAATATGCTGTCTAGGTTGGTCATAACTTTCCTTCCGAGGAGTAAGCTGCTTACTTGCACTCAAAGCCTCTGTGAAAGTGAAAGTGTTAGTCGCTCAGTCATGGTTGACTCTTTGCGACCCCATGGACTGCATCCTGCCAGGCTCCTTTGCCCATGGGATTCTCCAGGCAAGAATACTGGAGTGGATTGCCGTTTCCTTCTCCAGCAGATCTTCCTGACCCAGGGGTTGAACCCGGGTCTCCTGCATTGCAGGCTGAGCCACCAGGGGAGCCTCTGTGGTTTGGCCCTATCCTGCATGCAGCATGGCCATCTCCAGAAAAAAGCTACAGATGCAGGGAAGTCAGAGTCTGACCTTAAAGATAGGGCCCTTGGGTAACACAGTCTGGCTGCATGTTTCTAAGTGTTTGTTTCCCCTGGTGATGTGAGTGAGCTAGGGAGGTGAATCGTGGACCTAGGAAATATTTGAGCTTTGGAGACAGATTTAGATTTGAGTTTCTCCTGTTCTTTTTAGTGCATCAGTTGTGTGGCCTGGGACCTCACAAGATTTTCACAGACAAAGCCACACTGAAGCTGAGCTAACAACCAGAATTACGAAACACACAGGGAACAATCTGCCACAAGTGAGAGCCAGAACATACAGCAAGCACCACGTTTAGACCACAACAAACACCAAGAAATTCAGATGAAGAGACTATTAGAAAGCACTTATAAAGGAAGTATGTTTGAAACAAGAGGGGGAAAAAAAAGGAATTACTGGGATAAAAATAAGACATGCTATAAAAAGATGACATATTTAAAAACTTCATACTTTTATGAATGAAAATTGTAATCATGAAAATAGAAATTTAATGGATGAGTTAAATAGCAGATTAAATACTTTTGAAGACACATTGTGTGAACTAGGAGATAAAGGTGAGGAAGTAGTTGGGAACATGCATGGAGGGCTAAAGAGATGGAAAATATGAGAGGTTAGGAGGCATGGGAATAGAGTGAGAAAGTCCTGGGGAGACTTCCTTAGTGTTCCAGGCATTCTAGAAGGAGAGAATGGAGAGAATGAAAGAGAGATAATACTGAAACCGATAATGGATAAGAAATTTCCAGAAGTGCTGACAGTCATGAATCCTAAAAGGTAAAAGAAATGTTGATTTAGATTTGTGAAATCAGGAATATACATTAAAATTTTTAAATGTAGATAGAATAGAAATAGAATAGGTAACTTTCAAATCAGTAGAAGAGAACAGTAGTGATAATATAAATATTCCCTTTAGAATAAAAGCTACAGGGTGCCTAAAAATAAATCTGACCAGTATTTATAAGAGCTTAATGGAGAAGACTTCCCTGCAGGTTAAATTGGTAAAGAATCTGCCTGTGAGGCAGGAGACCAGAGTTCGATCCCTGGGTTGGGAATTTCCTCTGGAGAAGGGAATGGCAATCCACTCCAGTATTCTTTCCTGGAGAATTCCATGGACAGAGAAGCCTGGCTACAGTTCGTGGGGTCACAAAGAGTTGGACACGACCGAATGACTAACACAGTCTGGTGGAGAAGTTTATAAAATGTTATTGAAGGGATAAAGAATTGAGAAAAAGGCTTTGTTCTTGGGTAGGAAAATTCAATTTGTACAAATAAGTCTATGAATTCAATCTAATTACAAAATGAATCCCAAAAAAGCTGTTTCCCAAACTTGATATACAGACCCTAAAATTCATATGTGAAGAAAAGGAACCAAGAATAGCTAAGACAGTTTTGTACAAAAGAATATGGGAAGACATGCTCTAGCAGCTATAAACTCTTGTTATAAATTGCAGAACTTAAAGTGTGATGTCTTGGTACAGACAGACCCGCAGAATTAAATAAAGAGCCTGGAATGAGATTCATGTGCATATGGAAACTATATCAGACAAGGTGGCATGACAGGCCAGTCATAAGAAGATAAATTATATAAGAAATGGTGCCAGGACAACTCCTGGAGTAGGAAATGACAACCCACTCCAGTATTCTTGCCTGGAAAACTTCATGGACAGAGGAACCTGGTGGGCTACAGGCCATGGGGTTACACAGAGTCAGACACGCCTGAAGTGACTTAGCACATAAGAGAAAAAATAATTAAATCAAAAGAGAAAGGGGTTTTTAAAAATAAGAAACAGAAAGTATGATCCGACAAAGCAGTGGAGGATGAAATGAACTTGAGGTTGACCCTTGTCCCTCTGTCGTGGGGTTTAGGTGTGGATGGAGGAGCATGCACTGTCCACTCTGCTACAGACACACCTGAGAAACGACCACGAGAGCATCATCCACCGAGTCTTGGGCCAGCTTGGCAGCCTCAGTGAAGAGTGAGTCCAGTTTTGTGTAGGGTGGGGGCTTTCTGCCCGGTGTCATACTCCATGCTAGCCTCCGTGCCCTCATCTGTAAGTTAACTCCCACCCTCCTGGGCCTCCCTTACAGTGTGGCTTTGAGAACAACCAAAGTGTAAACATAAATATGAAATACAGTGATAGCAGAGTGTCATGTATGAAAGGTGAAGTCAGACCTGGTGTGGGCCCATGAATTGTTCTTACCCTCAATTTTCTCATCCATCAAAAGGGTCTAACAATACCTACTTCATAGAGTTGTCTTTCATAGAAACTTTTAAAACACCTTTCGTGAGGTATAGTTTACATACATTATTTTTAAGAGTACAATTAAATGATTTTTAGTAAATTTTAAGAGTTCTGCACCCATCACCATGCAATTGTGAAACACTTCCATCACTCCAAAAAAGATCACTTTTGCCCATTTTCAGTCATTCCCCGTTTATTAATAAATTTTATATTTTAAAATATTCTTTCTATAGTTATTAATGTGGTATCACTTTTTCAGCTTCCTGAAAAATATTTCTTTTTCCTTGTTTTACATAAGAAAAATTATTTGGATATAGCTAGTTTTCTAGTTGCCCAGTCCTTTCCAGGAAATTATTTTGTGTATATATCAAGAAGCATGTGGATAGCTATATTGTTGGATAATACAAAGGACATATCAGGAGATGGAAACAAGTAGGGAGACTCTGGTGAGCAAGTTAAGGACAGTAGTGAGCAATTGGAAGTTTATCTAGTCTCAAAGACTATGTCTTTTAATAGTACTAATGTTTAGTCCATTTACATTTAATGTAAAACTTTATGGTAATATATTTGGATTTTTAATCTATCTCCTTTCTGTTTATGTTTTTCCAACCTGCTCTATGTTCCTTTTCCTCTCCTCTCTTACCTTCTTTTGGTTTAGGTGTTTTATTATTTTCTATTTTCTCTCTCTAATTTAGTTATTAGTTATATATTATATATAGTATATATATTATATACTAATAATTTAGCTTATTAGTTATATATTCTTTTACTGTGATTTTAATGATTCAGAGATTTTGAATTGCATCCTTTGTATGCCAAAATATAACATATGTTAATATGTTCCTTCTTTTAAGACAGTAGAATGCTTTATTTCCATTCATTTTTCTCCCTCACAGAAGAAAAATGCTTTTCTTATTGGGCATTTTACGTAAAGAATATACCTGCAATTCTGGAGACCTGGGTTTGATCCATGCGTTAGGAAGATCCCCTGGAGAAGGGAAAGATTACCCACACCAGTATTCCAGCCTAGAGAATTCTGCAGTCCATGGGTTTGCAAAGAGTCGAACAGGACCGAGAGACTTTCACTTTCACTTTCTTTATGCATTTGCAACTCCACAAGATACTATTTTGGGTTTATGCAGTCAGCATTCATTTAGATTTACACTTTATGTTGCTCTTGATTCTTTCCTGCATCTTTAGGTGTCCACCTAGGAGTATTTCTTTTTGCATGAAGGTTCTGTTTATTTTAGATTTGCTACTGACAAATTTTCTTAGAATTTTGTTTGTCTGAAAACATCTATCTCCATTTTTGAGGAATGTTTTCATTGGGTGTAAAGTCCTAGTTTAGCTGTCTTTTAAATACTTGTAAAGATCATCTTTTGTTTCTGATTTCAGTTATTTTGATTGCTTCTAAGATTTTCTTTTGTTCTTTGGTTTTCATCAGTTCATTATAATATGCCTAAACATGGATGTGGGTTTTTGTGCATTTCCTGTTTGTTTGTTTTTACTAAATCTGTAGTGATTCTTGAATCTTTAATTTGCTATCATTAATCAGTTTTTGAAAATTCTGAATCTTTATCTCTTTAAATATTGCTTCTGCTTATTCTCTCCCTACTCTTCCTGGGAATGAAATTTTATGTTTATTAGATTTTTTTACCTTAGGTTATTTGTCTCTTACATGGTGTTCTATATTTTTGTTCCTTGTAGTTCAGTCTAGATAACTTGTTTTGACTCTCTTCCACTTCACACTCTCTTCAGTTGTGTCTTATCTGCTGTTCAATCCATCTACTGAATTCTTAATTCTGGTTACTGCATTTTTAGTTCTAGAATTTCCACTTTATTTTTGTCATAGTTTCCAGTTATCTGCTCAGATTCATCTTATCATTTAATTTCCTGAACATATTCATTCTAGCTCACTATTTTAATATCCAATATCTTGTGGGTATGTTTCTATTGTCTGGTTTTTTTTCTTTATTTTTGGTCAGTTCTTATCTGTTTGCAAGTCTGGTTATTTTTATTGAATGCTAGACAGTGTTATTAAAAAATTGTAGTAATAACTTAGGACTTTGAATGATAGGATCTTCCTCCAGACAGGATTTCTCTTACTTCCAGCAGGGATTTCAGACAGTGGCAGATCAACCACTCCATTGGTGAATTTAGCTGATTCAAAATTAGGTCTTTACAAGGAGTGATTCCTTATTCTTAGGAGTGTTTGCTGGTTCTCTCCTCCTTGCTAAATTGACTGACAGTTCTCTGTTCAACTTTTCAAGCTGTAAGAAAATACCTTATGTTATAAAACCAAATGTTGATCCTCTCTAAACCAGAGTTTCCTACTTGACTCATTGAGATAGGAACTCAAAAATAGTTCATGACTTCAGTTCTGAATGTGTTAATATTGAGAATCATGTAAAAAATTTGAGTGGATATGTACTGAAGGCAACTGTATATATACATCTGAAACTTGAGGAAGCTAAAAAGGTTAATCAAAGGACAGATGACTGACTATTACTCAAGTGTGCACCCACATCTAAGAGGATGGGCAGCAGAAGATGGGATAATTTTAACCTATTGCCTCTGGAAAGGTTCCCTGTGGGGCATGACTATTTGGGGTGTTTCTTAGTAGGTCAGTGTATTAGTCAGGATTCTCCAAACAGAACCAATATAAGATACAGTATAGGTGATATAGGTAAAGATATAGGTGGGCTTCCCAGGTGGCGCTAGTGGTAAAGAACCTCCCTGCCAATACAGGAGACATAGGAGATGTGAGTTCAATCCCTGGGTCAGGAAGATCCCCTGGAGGAGGGTGTGGCAACCCACTCTGGTATTCTTGCCTGGAGAATCCCGTGGACACAGGAGCCTGGTGGGCTACAGTCCATAGAATTGCAAAGGGTCAGACACAACTGAAGCAACTTAGCATGCATGCATAGGTGCAGGTATAGAGAAGTTGAGAAGTCACAAGATCCTCAGCAGGCAAGCTGGAGACTCAGGAAAACCAATATGTAATTTCAGTCCCAAGTCCAAAGGCCTGAGAACTCAGGGGGCTAATGGTGTGACATCCAGTTTGAAGGTCAGCAGTCCCAAGACCCAGGAAAAGCCAATGTTCCAGTTTAAGCACAAAGAGAAGGAAGTACAAAGGAAAACCATGTCCCACTCAAGGCAGTCAGGCAGGAGGAGTTCCCCCTTGTGGTTAGGTGGGCCTTTTCTTGTCTTCATATCTTCAACTGATTGGACAAGGCCCACCCACTTTAGGGAGGACCATCTGCTTTACGCATTTATTCAAATGTTAACCTCATCCAGAAATACCCTCACAGCCCCTCTCAGAATGATAGTTGATCAGCTGTCCATTCAGCCCATGGCCCAGCCAAACTCACACATAAAATTAACCACCACACTCAGTGAAGCCAGGAGCACTCACCCCCTGCCCCTAACCTCCTCCCCACTGTCTCCAAAGGTCCACTCAGTACATCCTGCAGGGGCACGAACTGCTCCTGCGCTCAGCTCTCCGGAGGCTGGCTCTCCGCGGCAGCGCCATCACCACCCTGACCCAGATGAGGCTGTCGGGGAAGAAGAGCCTTCTCCAGGAGCTGCGGGAGCAACACGCCCTGGAGCAGGGCTCCTCCCAGTGTCTGGACGAGCACCAGTGGCAACTGCTCAAAGCTTTGGTAAGACCGTGCCTCAGCCCCCTGCCCATCCCAGAACAGGAGTGCTGCTTCCTTGGCTGCCAGGTTCCAGTCTGGTTTAGTCAAAGCCCCAGTCCTCGGGACTTCTCTGGTGGTGGCTAAGATTCCTTGCTCCCAGTACAGTGGGGGCCTAGGTTCGATCCCTGGTCAGGGAACTAGATCCCACATGCTGCAACTGAGAGTTTGCATGCTGCAACTCAGAAAAAAAGATCAAAGATCTTGCATGCCTCAATGCATGCAAGCCACAGTCCCTAGAGTTGCAAATGGTCAGACAACTGAAGCAACTTAGCATGCATGCTAAGAAGTTGAGCAGTTACAAGATCCACAGCAGGCAAGCTGGAGACTCAGGAGAACCAATATGTAATTTCAGTCCCAAGTCCAAAGGCCTGAGAACTCGGAGGGCTAATGGTGTGACATCCAGTTTGAAGGTTAGCAGTCCCAAGACCCAGGAAAAGCCAATGTTCCAGTTTAAATACAAAGAGATCCTGCAAACCGCAATGAAAATTGAGGCTCCTGTGTGCCACAGTTGGGACCCGGTGCAGCCAAATAATTAAATGAGCACTTAGTTGCTTAGTCGTGTCTGACTCTTCATGATCCCTTGGACTGTAGCCCGCCAGGCACCTCTGTCCATGGCATGGGATTTTTTTCAGGCAAGGATACTGCAGTGGGTTGCCATATCCTCCTCCAGGGGACCTTCCCAACCCAGGGATTGAACCCAAGTCTCCTGTGTCTTCGGCATTGCAGGCAGGTTCTTTACCCACTGAGCCATCAGGGAGGCCCCAAATAAATAAACAAATTTTAAAAAAGAAGTCCTGCTCCCATATTGTCGTGGATAGGGACAATGGCACAATAGGTACCCCCTGTTGGGGGCACCCAGTATGCCCAAAGCTTGCAGTGTACATGAGAATGACAATTATACTAACGTTGCTCAAGAAGTCAGAACACAGGTAGGTACAGTCATCATCGGGGGTTAAGAGAAGAGGGCTGTGTGGTCTGTTTTAAGGTCTGAACAAATCTAAAGAAAGACTGTGAATTGCTGGGCTGGGATTTAAACCCAAACAGGCTGATTCCAGGTCTCCTATAGCCACTGAGCTGTATGAACAGCTGATGTTTTTTGACCTATGAGTGAGGAACAAGCTCACCGTCTCTTTTTCTTGGCCCTGGAGGACTTGGTGGGAAGCAGGCAGGACTTCCTACCCTACCTCCAGCCACAACCTCCTTCTCCAACTCCTATTCCTTCAAGAGAAGGACTCCCCATGGGCCCTGCCTTGGCTTCCATGATGTCCCACACTACTCTCAGACTCAGATGTGACTGAAGAGCCTCTCTGCTGTGTGGCTTTTAGAAAGTTACTTAGCGTCTCTGCACCCCTCTGGCCTCATCCCTCCTAGTGTTCAGGTCTCAAAGTGGGGTGAACGAGTAAGTTCTTGTACGTGTAAAAAGCCACAGATGGCACTGGGTACACCATTGGTGCTCAATAAATGCCCAAAGGGATCGGCAAGATCCCTAGGCTCATCCACTGTGTACATGTTTTTGCCAGCCCAGAGATGCTCACCTCCTACCCTTTCTCCAGCCTTCCTGGGACCCCCAGCAGGGCTGACCCCACCTTCTAGTTTGGTCCTGACCAGAGCATCCCTTGACTTCTCTGGAGCTCAAACGGTAAAGAATCTGCCTGTGATGCGGGAGACCAGGGTTTGATCCCTGGGTGGAGAAGATCCTCTGGAGCAGGGAATGGCAATTCACTCCAGTATTCTTGCTTAGAGAATTCCATGCACAGAGAAGCCTGGCGGGCTACAGTTCGTGGGGTCGCAAAGAGTCGGACACGACTGAGCAGCTAAGACACACACAGACCATCCGTGCAGGTGACAGGGGGGCTCCAGTCTTCTCCCTGCCCGACTTTTCCAGGAGGCGCGCGTGCTGGAGGAGGCTGGCAGGCTGGAGGAGGAGGCGCAGCAGACGCGCCTGCAGCTTCAGCAGCAGCTCCTGGCCGAGGCCCAGGAGGTCGGGCAGCTCTTGCAGCAGCACATGGAGCGCGCCATCGGGCAGGCGCTGCTGGGCCACGCGCGGAACTCAGCCTCCAGGAGCCGGGCCAAGGACACGGACGACTTCAAGGTGCGGGGCTGCCCCAGCCCCCAGGGAGCCCGGGGGGACTAGAGGCGGGGTCGGGGGCGAACAAGAGGAGGGATTCGAGCAGAGCAGCAGCTGGGCACCCAGGAGCCTCGCGCCCTGCAGAGCTCTTTGCCTCTGAGCTGCCTTTCCCCCTCTGTAAGAGGGAATGCCTGCCCCATGGAGCGGTGAGGATTTCCGCCCACTGCCCGGCCCTGTCTCCCGGCCTTCTGAGCACCAGCTCGGTCCTTGCAGCGGCCCCGAGAGGAACGTCATTTCAGCCAGAGCCTCCCAGTGGGTCAGTGGCAGATAACAGAGTCTGAGCCTAAGTCCCTCTCCCAGGGGCAGGCCCTCCCTGCCCTTGGCCACCTCTGTGGGAACCTGAGTGCTGGTGGAGTTGTCCCCGACGGCTGACCATTGCTGCTAACATCAGTCTGACCTGAGTAAGCCGTGGTTCTCTGCTTGCACTGACAGTTATGACAAACCACAGGAGTGAAACCGCCTTCCTAAGAAGTGATGTGGGCATCGCCCTTCTAAGTCAACAGAGGGGGGGAGTGGGGAGGGGCTTTGGCTTCCTCATCTCACTGGGCTCTTACCACAGCCCTTGCCCGGAAAGGATAATTTTTCTTCCCATTGTTCAGGTGGGAAGACTGAGGAGTTTCACTGGGCGGAAGACATGCTTAAAGCCTCCCAGCCTCAGTGAGCAGCTGGGACTGGAGGCTGCTCGTGCTTGGCTTCTCCTTATCTGCCTCCTCCCCCCAAGTTGTAAGAATACAACACATGTATTGCAGGTCTCAGCAGAGAGAGTCTGTGGCTGGTACCCACAGGAGGTGTTTTAGATCTGGGCTGGCAGCAGACCCCCCTGGGATGTGCCAGGACCCTCGAGGGCACTTCCATGAGTCCCTTCATTTACATAAAGTCACTCACCTGCACAGCAGAGAGGCTGGCCCCTCGATTCTGAAACACCCCATCTTGTTCCAGATCTCCGGTGTCTGCCACACTTCATCATCCAGACCTCAGGGCTAGTGATGCTGGGGAGTCTCTTCCCTCTGCTGAAACCTTACAACTCTGACCTAATCAATGGTCATTACATGAAAACAGAATGAAACACAAGTGTGGCATATCTTGTCCTTGGCTTCTCCAAGGGATTCTGAGTCAGGATTAGATAATGGACCCCCACCAGACACACACCCACCAGAAAGAACATGGGCCCAGTGTCTGGAAGGATGTTCTTTGCTGGACCTCTGTTCTCAGGGCCCCTTGGCCTAGGGCCCTGAGGCAGGTGCAGGGACAGAGGAGCCAGGCAGCAGCGTTCCTGCCTTCAGGGAGCTTACCATCTACTGAGAGAAGACACGCTAACCTTGAGAAGTTGTACTGGATGGGAGCTGAGATGCAAGCAGCGCCGAGGGGGATCGAGAGAGGGCTGAAACGGAGATTTTAGAGCAAGTGTGTTTGCTGACTTGAGTGGTACACCAGCCGGAAAAACTGGGGAGGAGGAGAGGAGGGCGGCCAGGCCTGAGGCCCTGGAGAAGGGAGGTAGGCTGCCATGCAGAGGGGTGGACTCCGCCCCCCTGTGGCAGGAGACTGGAGGGACAGAAGGTGTGATGTGCAGGTGGGTTTGCTGATTTGAGAGGGGAGAAGAGGGACTTCCTGTCTTCTGCGTTACATGTGCTAAATGAAATCCGAAGAAGGCCATTAGTGGGGGCTCCTGACCGTAAGTGCAAGGCCGGAGCTCAGAGTCCTTGGGGGCAGAGTCAAAGGTGAACGTTGGATGGAGAGGAAGAGAGAAGCAGTCGCAGTAAGGGAGGAGCCGGACCTAAGGGTGAGGAGATGGACTTTCATCTCCTCTGCATCCTGAGCTGCACCCCTCCTTACCTCCACGGCTTCCGTCCACGCCGGCACATCAGGGTGTATTTCTCAGCCCTCTGAGCATAATGAATCACTCGACAATAATGAATGGGCATTTTTTTTCCTTGCCCAAAGCTTGGAGCCATTCAATAAATGTTTTCTAAAATGGGGACTTGAACCTGACTTTTGCCCATCATCTTATGAGCTAAAAGGTGATGACTTTACGAGTGCTCAACCAATATGTCCCCAGTGACGGGGCATCCCAGCGTTTCTTCTCTGCTCTGCTTTGGGTCCGAAGGTGTGTCATTAAGGACTGCATATAACGGCGAGTGACACAGATCCATGCTTAAATAAATAGAAGTTACTGATCTCACATAACAAGAAATGTGGAGGTAGGTGGTTCCAGGCTGGCACAGAGGATCAGTGATGTGAACAAGGACAAGCCTCTTTCTTTCTGCTCCATCATTCTTGGTATTGGTTTTGTTGCCTCATGGTCTCAAAATGGCTACTGCTGCTCCAGACATCACTCCGTGTCCTGGCCAGAAGAGGGAAATAGCAAAGTCTATCACCTTCACCAAGCCTTTGCTTAATGTTGGGAAAAGGGCGGCCCTCAATAGACTCTCCCTAACATTGCATCTCATTGGTCAGAACTGGGTCATACACCCAGCATCAGACCATCCCTGACCAAGGAAGGTAAGTTATCAATGCTGGTTTAAACCAGCCAGGCACTCTCCACCTGCTCTGGACCAGCCAAGTTTGGGAGTAAGTGGTCTATGGGAGTCAGGACCATGTTGGCCATTGCTAGCTCTATGTGTGCCCTCTATTGAGACTTTCCCCTCCTGCCCACAGAGAACGCTGATGGAGGCGGCCGTGGAGAGCGTCTACGTGACCAGCCCTGGCATCAGCCGGCTCGTGCAAGCGTATCATCAGCAGATTGGGAGGGTCATGCGGGACCACGAGGAGAGAAGGCTGCAACATCTGAAGGTCCTACATGGTATGGTGCCCTCCACGAGGAAGCCCTGCCAGCAGTGAGCCAGACGTGCTCTTAGTTGGGGACGGGGCGGGATGTCAGCGTTTTCAAATGGTTACTTAAGGGGATTTAATTTTTTTTGATGTTTTATGTATTTATTTATCCTTGCCTTGTCCCCAAAACCACCCTGAAGTGACCTTGGCTTCCCTGGTGGCTCAGATGGTAAACAATCTGCCAGCAATGCTGGAGACATGGGTTCGATCCCTGGTTGGGAAGATCCCCTTGGAGAAGGGAGTGGCTACCCACTCCAGTATTCTTGCCTGGAGAATCCCATGGACAGAGGAGCCTGGTGGGCTGCGATCCATGGGGTCACAGAGTCAGACACGACTGAACAACTAACACTTTCAAAGACAATGACTTGTCCCCCAAAAGCTTTTCAAAAAGCACTTAAAGAAACGTATCTGTACAGTACAATAGGATTTTTTTTTAAGTAGATGAATAAGGCCAAAGAGAGGACAGAGATGAAGTTAAGGTTCAGTCATCATCTGGGACATATATGAGCACATTCCTACTTAAGAGGTAACATGCTTTTGCCTCTGGGCTTCCTGGTGGCCAAAGAGATAGAAGTTCCCTCAATTTAAGCTGTCACAGTGACAATGAGTAAGAACAGGCCAGTGGCCCATATGTGGGCACATTTACAGATGAGAGCCAGACAGTTTTTCCCTATGGGCTCTCTTAAGAGGCCACCTGGGGGATGGAGCAGACCAGACCCCCAGGGCCAGCAAGAACATCATGCAGTAACAGACAAAAACAAGTTCCTTAAAGTCTCTTCTCCTAACAGTCCTCCCCACACCCAGGGCTTCAGAGCAGGGTGGAATCCCATATTCTCTGATGGATTTTTCCTGGATTGTCCACAATCCCTAGATGAAGGACGGGCAGCTGGTCCTGGGGGCAGGTCTTCCGTGAATCTTATTTTTCTCAATGAGTTCAGCTGCCACTTTTTTCCTGCCTTTGCTCTGGGGAATTAGAGCTCTACATTGAAATAAAATCTGGGACCTGCCCAGAAATCTGCCAGCTGGCTACAGATCCTTCCTGATGGTTTTCTCAAGTAGGGGTAGGTCTCCTTTAGCAGGAGGCAGACGTGATTGGTTGTCCCTGTGGAACATTCAGGAACCAGGGTGTTCATGTCCCTGCTCTAGGCCTCAGTTTCCCCACTTGTGGGGCTAGGCTCGGACTCACCCTGTATCCTCTCAGCTCTAATTTCCTGCATCCTCTCAGCTTTAATTTCCTGCTCCCCTGATACCCCAACTTAATGAAAGGATTTCTCAACACATGCCTTGAAATGATGTAACTTGATCACATGAACTCCTTTTTTTCATTCAGTCAACTCTTAAAAAAGTCCTAGAATGCTGTGCCTCTGGGGATCATCCAGGATGGACTTTTCTCTAAATTCTAGAAAGCTCAGGTCCAGGGAGGTCAGTGGCCTGTTGACATCTCATAGCTCAGTCAGTATGGCAACTAGGTGAGTGTAACTAGATAAATGTAGCGGCTAGCTAAGAATAAGAATGTTCTGAGATGACTAGCCCAGGTGACGCTAGTGGTAAAGAACCTGCCTGCCAGCGCAGGAGACAAAAGAAACTTGGGTTCGATCCCTGGGTCAGGAAGATCCCCTGAAGAAGGGCATGGCAACCCACTTTCCTGGTGAATCCCATAGACAGAGGAGCCTGGCGGGCTACAGTCAATGCGTGGTCACAAGGAGTCAGACACAACTTAAGCGACTTAGGACACAGCATGCACAAGATGACCAGGAAATAGGAAATATATATATGTTGAAATATTAAAATATATATATATATATATTGTGATGGCTATGGTCCAATAAATAGGCAGTTAATTCAGGTGGTAGTAAGAATCCAGTAGAAAATAATTTTGATTGTCATCATCTGTTTCAAAATATACCAGTGTTTTAAATAATAATAATAAGAAACATGTCCTGATATATAGACCAGTGCACATTGGACTCAGAAACCAAACCTCTCAGCTCCTTGGAAAGCACCCAGTTCAGCACCCATGTCTGTAGGACTCACTGCATGCCTGTTCTTCGTGTAAGATGGTTTTCTTTCCTGGTGGGGACTTTTAACCATTTGTGGTGGTCTTTTAGTGTTGACCCTTTCTTATTAGGCTTCCCTTTCTCCTGATACTATAAGAAAGCAGGGCTGAGCAGATGCAGGCAGAGCTGGGGTACTGCCCTCATTGGTGTGTGGGGTGTAATGGAAATTGTGACTTCCTCATGCATACGAAGCCCTTCCCAGGGTGAACCATGGGGCTGGTAAACAGCACACCCAAGAGCAGGTATGCCCTGCTCATCTCTGCACCCCAGCACCTGGCCCCTTCCCAGCACAGCGTCAGTCCTTCAAACACCCACCTTGATCATTGTGTGTTATATGGGCTTCCCTGGTAGCTCAGCTGGTAAAGAATCTGCCTGCAATGCAGGAGACCCTGGTTTAATTTCTCGATCGGGAAGATCCCCTGGAGAAGGGATAGGCTGCCCACTCCAGTATTCTTGGGCTTCTCTGGTGGCTCAGAAAGGAAAGAATCTGCCTGCAATGCGGGAGACCTGGGTTTGATCCCTGGGTTGGGAAGATCCCCTGGAGAAGGAAACTGCTACCCCACTGTGGTATTCTTGCCTGGAGAATTCCAAGGACAGAGGAGCCTGGCGGGCTACAGTCCATGGGGTGGTAAAGAGTCGGACATGACTGCACGACTTTCACTTTCAGGTGAAAGAATGGAAGAGTACAAGTTGCGGAAAAAGCAAGAACTCGCCGAGCCTTCGTCCGGAGCCGAGGTGGCGGGTGGAGCTCAGGAAGCCTCCAGAGCTGTTCACCAGAGGTGAGGCTCCCCACCGGCTGGGGGTCCCAGCAGAGGTCCCAGGCCCTGTGCATCATGTGCGTATCTAATACACTCTCAGCAGCTGACCTCCCATGCATTCGCCTGGGGGCCTGGGTCTCCTCTGCCTCCCCCACCCACGTGGGAGCCCACGAGCCCCCATCTGGTTCCCCCTCTAACTCGAAGCCCCTAGAAGGGACTTTGACACAAGGGTGCAAGTCAAGGTGTGCCGGGGGCTTCGTTCCCAGGTCGGAGTGGTCTTCACGCCCCTGATGTGGGATCTGCTCTCTGATCCGTGCTTAGGGTTCCCCTAGAAGCAGACCCTGAGCTGAGGCCCCGGGGGCAGGTGGGCCCAGGAAGCATGATGAGGGGCAGGGAAGGAGGAGGAGGATTGCTTCCTGCTGCTGCCATAGCAATGCCCCCCACCCCCCACTGCAGTCACACTCCGTGGTATCTCAGGGAGCCGAATGTCAGAAGTCAGGCTGATGCTGCTGGCTTCTCTGGGCCTCCCAGGCCAAAATCAGGCTGTTGCTGGCTGGGCTCTCGTCAGAGGCTCTAGAAGCTTCCAGGCTTCTTCAGGTGTCGGCACAATCCAGTTCCTTGTAGAACTGAGGTTTTATTTCCTTGTGGCTGTTGGCTGGGCTTGCCCTGACCTCCCAGCGGCCTCTCTCTGGTCCTAGCACGTGGCCCCTGCATCCAGAACATGAAGTCTTGCCCACACTTGCCATCTCTTCTGCCGCATCTCTGCAACCCCATGGACTGTACAGCCCACCAGGCTCCTCTGTCCATGGGATTCTCCAGGCCAGAATACTGGAGTGGGTTGCCATTTCCTTCTCCAGGGTATCTTCCCAACTCAGGGATTGAATCTGGGTCTCCTGCATCACAGGCAGACTGTTTATCACTGAGCCACCAGGTAAGTCCCCCAGTGATTGAGACCCACCTAGATAATCCAGGTTCATGTTCGAATCTTAAACCAGTAACCTTAATCACCCTGGCAGAGTCCCGATTACCATGCAACATAACATCTTCACACGTTCCAGGGATTAGGCTGTAGACACCTCTGGGGGGCGCTGTGTGGCCTACCACTAGGAGAGAAAAGCCATTAAGGCCTGTGACAATGAGGGGTTTCCATGCCAACTGAGGCCCAACCCCAGTCTGGACCTTCTTATGGACTCAAGGAGATGGGCATGGAGGGAAGAGCACTGAGGGTCATGTATGAGCCTCTAAATCACTGAAACTAAATCACACACCTTCACCCCCACTGGGCTTTGCTTCTTTATTTTCCATCAACCCAACAAGGTTGGACCAGGGGGTGGCTGAGGCCCCAGCTCTTGGGTCACTGGGGTCAAAGTGGAGCCCTTCGACCACAAGATGTGTAGAACTCAACTTCCAATGATGCCAGCAAGGGGTGAGGAAAATAGGGGACTTGTCTACCAAGTCTACCAAGCCCCTTCCACGTTGGTTGAGGATCTGCCCTGGAGGCGTTAATTCTCCAGCCTTCTCAGGCATTCCCTGAGCTGGCCAAGCCCCACACCCCATGGTCAGAGGAAGCCCTGAGACCTGGTCAGAGGTGCTCGTAATGAGCCATTGGCGCACGTGGAAACTGTCCACTGAAGGGCAGCCAGCCACCACGTGGGCTGAAGGGACGTGGGCTTAGTTAGCACCAGCATGTCCCCATAAGCACATAATTAGGTCCTGAGGTAGGCACAGGGGACAGTGCTTCCCACCTGAGAGCTCACAGCCTGGAGGGAGAGACGGACAAATTAAAAAGACAACAAGTCAGCACAGGTGCTGTGATGAGGGAAGGGGCATTGCGAGACTGCAGCGGGGACGGGGGTCCCTTGTCTAAGGAGAGGCATCTCGCCAGCTGGAAGTAGCAGCAGGAACACCACCCTCCAGGATGGAGGAAAGTGAGCTACATCCTGGGCCACCAGGTAAACCCCAGCCCTTCTCTGATGCTCCTTTAAGAAGTAGGACCCACAACGTCCCCCAGGTCAGACTGAGTCCAGCTTCCCCTCTATAAATCCTCTGGCCATCAGCAGTGGTCAGCAAATGCCCTGGCATTGGGTTGAGGCTGGGACTCACTCTGACTGTTGGCATGGCCTTCAAACTATGGTCCAGCAGTTCTCAGATTTGGGGGCATCTGTCTTTCATGGCTTTCTGCTAAACGTGCAGGTCACACCCCTGGACACCCAGACTCAGGGACTTGGAGCAGAGCCCAAGCATCTGAATTGCTAACACTCTCCAGCTCTTTGTGACCCCAGGGCTCCACTTTGACCCCAGTGACCCAGAGGAGGGGCCTTAGCCACCACCTGGTCCAACCCTGCTGGGTGTATGGAAAATAAGCAGCAGGGGTGCGGGTGTATGACCTAGTCTCACTGATTTTAGAGGCTCATACATGACCGTCAATGCCCTTCCCTCCATGCCCATCTCCTTGAATTCATAAGTGCAGTTTCTAGTGAAAGTCAGCCAGAGCGCCTTGGGACAGAACAGTGTGATGACAACAGATACCAGTTTTTAAAATGGTACGAGAATAAGCACACACATGAAGCACTTCTCAGTCAGATGGCAGATTTCACAGTGCATCTCTTGTCAGCGGTGGGATTGTAAGCGAGCCCACCTAGGGATACCAGGTGATGCTATAGCAGCGCCTCCCACCCTTCATGCCCCGAGCCCCAGGTTCCCCATGTGTAAAACAGAGTTGCCATAGCCCCTGTTGTTACAGATGTATAGCTGTCAGATAAGCATGCAAAACTCTCACACTGAGGCCGGCACATGGCTGGGGCACCGATGTCCATCACTGCTGTCAGCACTGTCTTGGCAGAGACGTTGGCACTGCACATGGTACAATGTGAAATTCAAACAGTTCTGGAATCAGAACTCTTTCAAATGGATATTGTTGAAATATCCATTCCCGTGGTCGAATTTGCGTCCACATAAGGCATCCACGAGCTGATGCACTCAACTAGGTGACCCTGTCCTTGGCCGGCTCTCTTGTCTTAGGTCCTCATCACTCCCCTCCTAGTTTGGAGCTGCAGCCTCTGCCCAGACCCCCACTCAGCCTCCCTGCTTCCTGTGCTGCAGCCAGAGCATCGCAGGAAACACCAGACAGCCGTGTCTCAGATTCTCCCAGACCCTTGAGACTGCAGGGTCTTGCGCGGCTCCCCAGCCCTTAAGATTGAAGCCCCACCCTAACCAGGGGCCACAGTTCCTTCCCGGGCAGTCCTGTCACTTCCCAGCGTTCCCAAGAGCCAGGTCCGTGGGGGAGATGATAGTTGGCTGGATGACAGTCGAGAGTGACCAGGACTAGGGACAAGGTGGGTGTGGGACTGAGGCTGCTCAGAGAAAGAAGCCACCTGGCCTCTGTAGCGGGCTGATCAGGGGTCCCCAAAAGTGAGGTGAAAGTCGCTCAGTCGTGTCTGACTCTTTGTGACCCCATGAACTATACAGCCCATGGAATTCTCCAGGCCAGAATACTGGAGTGGGTAGCCATTCCCTTCTCTGGGAGATCTTCCCAACCCAGGGATCAAAGCCAGGTCTCCTGCCTTGCTTTATCAGCTGAGCCGCCAGGGAAGCCCAAGATTACTAGAGTGGGCAGCCTATCCCTTTTCCGGCTTACCTTCCCGACTCAGGAATCAGCGGATTCTTCACCAGCTGAGCTACCAGGGAAGCCAAAAGGTCCATGTCCTAAGCTCTGGAACCCATAGATGCTAAGTCACTTCAGTCATGTCCAACTCTTTGTGAACCTATGGACAGGGCCCGCCAGGTCCCTCTGTCCATGCAGTATTCTCCAGTCAAGAATACTGGAGTGGGTTGTCATGCCCTCCTCCAGGGGATCTTCCTGACCTAGGGATTGAACCCACGTCTCATGCCTGCTGCGTTGGCAGGTGGATTCTTTACCACTGGAGCCATCTAGGAAGCCCAGCTGGAACCCATACATGTTATTTTATTTGGAAAAAGTGTCGTTGCAGATGTCGTTTATGTTAAAGATCTTAAGATGAGGCCATCACCCTGGCTGATGGCAAGGGAAGCAGGGGGACATTTGACCACACACAGAGGAGATGACGTGACGACAGGGGCAGAGACTGGAGTGATGCAGCCGCAAGCCAAGGGGTGCCAGCAGGTACCAGAAGAGGCAGGGGACAGGTTCACCTCTAGAACCTCCACAAGGAGCACAGCCCTGTCGACTCCTTGACTGAAGATTTCTGGGCTCTTCCTGAGAAGATAGGTTCTGTTGTTAGAAGCCTCCTAGTCTGGGGTCATTTGTTAGAGCAGCCCCAGCAAAGTAATGCAGCCTCTTTGAGGGTGTGAGAGGGATCACACCTCAGAGCACTGACCTCAGCGGCATCATAGTTACTGGTCTGATATCCCTCCCTCCCCTCAGCTCAAAGTAGGGCCCTATGATGGCAGAGATGATCAGTCTGCTATCCACAGCTGTGTCTTCAAAACCCAGCATCCCACTTGGAAGTCTAGAAATACTTCTGTGAATCAATGAATGAGTGGCTGGAAGGATGGATGACAGTATCTTGTAGGATGAACAGGAGTTTGCCAGAAAAAACAAAAAAAGAGGGAAAGGTATTACTGGTAGAAGGAAGAGCATGAAGCAAGAGCTGGTGGAATTTCGTGCCTTCAGAGACAATCCACAGACAGCTGATGCTAAAGGTGTCTTCTGCCTTCAGGTCTAGAAGTTCAGCCCCTTTCAGAAAATCAATCATAAGAAGGGAAAGACAAAGACAGAAGAATTATGGAAAGAGGGTGGATGGAATTGAATGTTCCCCTTTGCTGAGGACCAGAGGAAGGTCTGCTGAGGAGGGGAGGGTATTCAGAGCAGGAGGGGAGGGGGTCTCTGCCCCTGAAAGGGAGGTGGGGGGCTGTCTCCAGGTCAGGGACCCTGCTTCAGCCCCAGCTCTGTCCTCTGCCACTTGCAGTAATGAGGCTGTCCTATTCGGGACTTCTCAGACTCTGCCTTCTAGGAAACTCAGCCTTCTGTCTTAGAGGGAGGATCTAGGGCAGTTCTGAAATTTTAAACAAAGATGGGTGCTTTCAGAGGACCATCTCACCCACTCCCCCACCCTCGCCACACTCCGGAATTAAATGATTTTTCTCCTACGAAGATGCCACTTGCAGCCCAAACTCTCTGCAGCTGTGGGACTCAGGGTCGCTGCCCTCCCCGCCCCGCCCTCCCCCGAGCTTCTCCCGAGATTTTCACCTCTCTGTCCTGTGGATATCACCAAACCACCCTGAAGATCAAGTGAAAAATTGGTGTGTGAGACTCTGTAAACTGCCCAGTGTTCATCATCAGAGGGCATCTGCTTTTCTGATGAGTCAGCCGCGGGGCAGAGGGAGTCGAGCGGCAACTGCGGCTAGCCTGGCTTCGGTGAATCATATCGAGATGGCGGTTCTCCTCTCTGCTCTCCCGAAGGGTTCCAGGCCGGCTCTTGGTCACTAGTTCCCCTGATTCAGCAGGTCCCAGGTGGGAGGGTCGCGCTGGGTCTGATGAACCCGCCGGCAGAGCAGCGCCGACTGCCCGCGTTCCTTCCCGCAGGATGTTGGCGCAGCAGAGAAAGTTCCTGGCTCAGTTCACCGCGCACCAGCAGACCCGCCGTGATGCGCGGAAGCGGAAGGCGAGGGTCATGGACCACCTGGAAGCCCAGCTTGAGACCCAGCTACAGGTACAGCTTGTGAAAACGCGCCTGTGCCACGTGGGCAGTGGTTTACAGGGGAGTGGAAATAGTGAAAGGCCAAGCTCGTGGTCACGGGTCAGCACAGGAGCCTTCGTGGGGACATCACACCCTGCTCGGGACCCCCTCGACCTCCGCTAGTCTCCTGGGCTAATGACGCATCAGCCTTGCAGCTAGATTATGAACTTCGATTCCCCCCGGGTCTGTAGCGCCCAGCTTGGGGCCAGGCCCGGACCACTCATCAGCTTTATCTGTTGAGATGAAAAGAAGGAGCACCTCCCTTGTGCGCGGATCCCCACCACGTGGCCCTCGGGGTGTCAAGGCTGACCTTAGCATCATTCAGGCAGTGCTGCTGGGCCGGAGGCTTGCACTTTATCTAGAACATTCAGGACGCTCATATTTCATGATGTTAAGTGGATATTTCATCCCAGAAAAATCTCCTCGGTGTGAGATAAGGTACGGCTATAAAGCAAAGCCGCTGCCCTTAAAAAGAGATAAGATATTCCAGAAAGGGAGTGCTGAGCACAGCGTTGACCCATCTGAGTATTCACCGGCAGTGTGGCTGTAACAACAACAGTGATATGAGAGCCAGGGTGGTGACCCCTATTCCCTGAGGGCCTCCTCTAGACACCGAGCTGAGGGCTTTACAGTTCATCTACAGCCAAGAGGGGGTTACTCCTGGCAGTTTACAGATGGGGAAACTGAGGACCCAAGGGATCAGGCAGAGGGGGCTTAGATCCTGGTTCTGTGCTGCCTTCACGGAGTCCATTGCATCCCAGTATTCTCATCTGTAAAGTGGGATCCACCGCCCACATGAGTGAGGACGGATGGCCCACTGCCCCTGCATCCCATGTGCCTCGGCTGCTCCAGGCCTCTCTGGATGCTTCTCAGGGAGATAGAGGATGCTCCGCATGGGAATGCTCTCCTTTCTCCTGTCCTCACTCAGCGCATCCATCTCGATCTGATGGAAGGGGATTTAGAGGCGGAGCACAGCAGAGGGAGGCCCCACTGATGCTCTCTCTTCGCATCCAGGAAGCTGAACAGAACTTCATCTCAGAGCTGGCAGCATTGGCCCGGATACCTCTTGCCGAAAGCAAATTATTTTCAAATAAACGTGGGCTCTCAGGTGAGTCATAGGAGGAGGTGCCCTGCAGGCTGTCTGAGCAGGAATATAGGTTCTAGCCCCCAGGTCTGCCACTAACCGGCGTGTGGCCTCAGGCACCACGCGTACCCTCTCTGGGCTTTTGTGTCCTGTCTGTAGATGAGCAGGCTCCACTAGGATGCCTGCTGGACCCCTGGCCCTCCAACCTGCTGTAAGTCCACTCAGCAGTTGACTCTCATTTCTGACTCCATTTCCCCGACTCCATTTCCCCATCTGTGAGATGGGAATCATTAGTCTTTTTCCCCCTGCCAGTGGAAACTTCAGTGACATCACAGGTGTTATGGCAAGAAGAAGGTGTGTAAAATCACAGAGGGCCAGGGACTTCTCTGGCAGTCCAGTGGTTAAGGCTCTGCACTTCTCAGGCAGGGGGCATGGGTTCGATCCCCGGCATGGGTTCGATCCCCGGTCAGGGAACTAAGATCCCACATGCTGTGTGGAGGAGGGAGGGATATATGTGCTCAGTTGTGTCCAACTCTTTGGGACCCCATGGACTGTAGCCCACCAGGCTCCTCTGTCGATGGAATTCTCCAGGCAAGAATACTGGAGTGGGGTGCCATTCCCTTCTCCAAGGGATCGTCCCCACCCAAGGATCGAACCTGAGTCTCCTACATTGCAAGCAGACTGTTTATGATCTGAGCCACCAGGGAAGCCCCATGCTGCGAGGCATGGCTGAAAAAACAAAATTCAAAAATTTGGGGAAACGCTTTAGAAAAAGAGATCACAGGGGTCTATTAAAATAAAAGCTACAGTGCCAGCGCTGTGTTCCTCAGTGCTTCGGGAAGCTGCCAGGCTGGCTGGGTGTGGGAGAAACAGTAGAACTGAGTTTGAGTCCTGGGTCGGCCACCTCCCGGTTGCGTGGGTTTGGGCAAGCTCCCACCTCCCGCGAGATCTCGGTTTCTGTGTGAGTTAAGCAGATCTGAGAGCGGTAGGTACGGCGCGCACACTTGGCCCCCAGAGCTACTCAAGCAGTGCCAGGCTGGGGCAACGTGGGGCCGAGAGGAAGTTCCCCAGAGCCAGCGTCTGATTCATGTGTCTTCTGCAGAGAAGCCCCTGAGGACCAAAAGGAAGAAGCCAGCACCCCGAGAGAGAGGGGACACTGGGGGTCCCAAGGACGATGACCCTGCCTCGGGGGGCCCCACGTCAGGATCGCTTAGGTACAACAGGGCCCTTGTTGGTCTCCTAAACCTGGGCAGGGCAGCCAGCATCTCTTGGCAGGTGTTGACTCGGGTCCAGGAACTGATGGGTGATGATAGGAACTGTTGGTGTGACTACTACTGCTGATGTTAGTGGCTGGGTTGGCCATGACCCATCTCCCCAGCCCCTCAGCATCCAGCCAGAATAGCCAGCAATCCCAGGCCTCACCATGGCCGCTGGGTTTGCGATAGGGTGGATCCGTCCTGGGGTACTGCAGTCCTCTGAGCATGGGTTTCCTGTTCCTTGCGGTGCTCGGATGGCCTCCCACCAAACACAGGGGAGCTAGGAGTTTTGTTTCTTAACAGCCCATGTCAACATGCTAGCTGTTTTCAACGGCCCATCACTGCCTTTTCACATGATCAGGTTGGATGCATGGCTGCATCATGACAGACCTGGAATCATTTGTTCTGACCAGCTGCATTTCTTCCCTATTTTTAAGCAGTAAAAGGCTGAGCCAGCAAGAAAGTGAAGTTGGTGACGGCGAGAATTCCAAGAAGATGCTAAAGAGAAGAAGCCATCTGTAGCTTAAGGCTGCTCGGGACAGGTCCTGAAGACCCGGGCATTCTCTGAAGCCCGCCTGCTCCTCCCCCAGGAGGACCGGGGGTGGGGGGGTGGATGGGGTCTTGCCTCTGCCCACTGGCTTGTGCAGGGCTGGAGAATGGATGGCAGAGTCCCAGGAAAGGCCTGAAAGAGTAAGGCGGACCCTACTGCCTGTGAAAGTGACAAGCTCCCAGTGTTGGGAACACATCTTTTCAAGTTTTTGTGTCTCCTTGGCTTTGAGATGCGGCTCAGTTCCTTGGGGAGCCCTTCCTTCGTGACCCTCTATAACCTCCCATTCTGCCAAGCCCTGATGCCCCCCAGACCTGCCCTCGCCGAAGCTAGGTGGTCTCAGTCCCACCTGGGGGCCTCTGCTCTCCAGCCGCCTCACGGAGTTCTGCCACTGGTGAAGGGTCACCAGGTGTTGCTGGTGTTCTCTGGGTCCGAGGGCTTTTCTCCTGCATCTTCATCACCCCCACTTTCTCTGTCCACGCACCGTGACCACTGGCCAACCCAGATTCTCACCAGGACCCAGTCCCTTTGGGCTCAGCTGGCGGCTCTGGCCTGGTCTCCATAAGGGGATCTGAGTCTCAGGTCCCATGACATAGACCATGGAACACTTCGCCTGCAGGCCTGTCCTCACCCACCCCAGGGACTCAAGGACCCATAGAGGCATAATGACACCTGCAGCAGTGTCTTCTGTCGGAGACATTTAAAGCGCTAGGTAGGGGGCCCTGCCCTGGAGGAGGAAATGGCAACCCACTCTGTATTCTTGCCTGGAAAAAAATCCCATGGACAGAGGAGCCTGGCAGGCTACAGTCCATGGGGTCGCAGAGTCCGATACGACTGAGCGACTGAACATGCATGCAGGGAGGCCTTGCCCACCCTGAAGACTTCCACTGGGAACCGTGAGGCCTTCTGCTAGACAGCTTGCCCTCCTCTAAGGAGACATGCTTCTCCCAGAGGATGCTGGGAATATCCAGAAGCTTCCAGACCAACCACTGCCGGGAGAGGCCATTCCCACCTGGAAAAAAATTGCTCTTTTCATTGAAATCAGGGATTGTCCATCTTGGCACTGCAGACATTTGAGATGAGAAAATTCTTTGGGGATGGGGGCTATCTTGTGTATTATGGCACGTTTAGCAGCATCAAAGAACCCACCTGCCAATGCAGGAGTCCTATAAGAGATGCAGGTTCAATCCCTGGGTAGGGAAGATCCCCTGGAGGTGGGCATGACAACCCACTCCAGTATTCTAGCCTGGAGAATCCCATGGTCAGAGGAGGATGGCAGGCTATGGTCCACAGGGTCGCAAAAGAGTTGAACATGACTAAAGAGAATTAGCACACATGTGGCCTCTACCCACCAGATGCTAGGAACACTCCCAACTGTGTCAACAAAATGTGTCTCCAAACACCACCAGATGATCCCTGGGGCGGGCATCATCCTCTGACCTAACGCAGAGAGTGCCAGGCCCATGTGCGTCTGGGATGAGAGTTTAGTATTTCCATAAATTCCCAGTACACAGTGGGCTTCAGGTTCTAGGAGCTCCTGTCTCAGGGATTTTTTGGACTGATCATTTGTGGTCTGAATTTTTATCTCTTAAAACCCAGATTAAAAAAAAAAAGATTAGTCTCTCTTAGTCAGGAAAGAGCAGCTCCTTAACAGAAGAAGGAATCCATGCTATTTGCATCATTTGTTAAGGGTATCTACCATCAGAGCATCCTTTAAATCCTGACTGGGCACCCACTGGAGTTCCCAAAATTAACCAGCAGCTCCCTCTTGTGGCTAAATAAAACATTACCTTATTCTGCAGTTGTAACAAGCGGTGGCTTCCTTCCTGCAGTCGGCTGAGAACCTGGTTGACATAGAAATTGCTTTTGTCACATGGGTCCTGTGCCCAGAGGCAGTCTGGAGGCAAATATCTCCTGTGTTGGGAATGTCTGATTTGGCGATGAGGGTTTGGTAACTGCAGATGCCCCGGCAGCACCAGAATCCTCAGAAGATCACAAGAAGCAACCAACCTCTACCGATCTTGCATGGGTGATGATTTTGCTTAAATGTAGTCCTTAGCCCAAGGGAATATGTCGCATGTCACAGGTTGCTGGACTGCTTGGCACAGTGTGGGCACGTTACTCTCCGTAAAGGCTTGTGGGCTCTGTCTGTTTTCATCACATCCCAAATTGACTGTGGGGGCGTCTTTCATGATGGAATTGCCTCTGTGATCAGAACGGAAGGTGGAACTCCAGAAGCCACAGGACCCTTGGCGGCGGTGGGTGCAGGCTGGGGGACACCCGGGTGCGGAGGAGGGCTTTCAGGCCGGACGCTGAGCTGCATGAATACGGCACACCCAGGGCCAGGGGAGAGAGGAGCGGCCAGAAGACCCCCGGGGATCCAGCCACCCTCCCTCCGATTGGGTCGTGTCCCCAGTTCTTATGGGATGTGGGTGGTTACAGTGATGGAAGGAGCTGAAATGGAAGGGGTTCATGAGTGATAATATAATGACAAGTTTAGTGGATTGATTTTTGTGCAAATTTAGCCTCTCTGAGCTGAGCTGCTGGGATGAAGCCAAGGGGTATACAAGCTCAACAGACTCCTAGGATTCCTCCAGCCAGCCTGGGGTCTGTCTTGTTCTCATCGCCTTAGGGCTGATCTTGTTGCTGTCACAGAAGCCTCCTAACTGCTCCTGCTCTCCCCTCTGCCCCGGACCACCCTCTTCTAATCTGTCCACACTTCCTAAAACACAGATCTGGTTGCTGCTCTTCAGTAGTGATCCCTTGCTCTTAGGAGAAAAAAAAAAAAAATCTTGGACACAGACCACGGGTCTGGTGAGGTCTGGTGTCAGCCAACCCTCCAGCCCAGCTGATGCCCTCACCACACCCAACATCCAGCCTGTCTCCTCTCTTGGCCTCATGCAGGCCTCAACCCCTGCCTACCACATGGTCTTGCCACATGACATTCTGCCGGGAACACTTCTTCCACCTCCCATCCCCTTTGCCTCATTAGCTCCTAGCCATGCTCACATCTCAACAGGGCTGGCTCACAACTTCAAGAACCTCCCCTGCCCTCCTTGACACTATCAGACCCTCCTCTTTCGCTCTTAAGATCTGTCTCTATGTTTTGTTGCTGGGATGGGAGAGGGGATGGTAGATGACACTCTATTTCTCATCCAAGTTTGGAACCAGTTGAGATTGAGGCAAAGCAGCTACACAGATCTGCATATCAGCTTTTTAATTGGTGAAGCCAAACTGGGGACTCGATGTCCACAAAGAGCCTGTTCCTATCTTCAGCTGAACTAAACCTGCCCGCCCCTTCCACAGACGCAGACATTTGCCCCAGTCACAAGCCTCTTCCACGGGGTCACCCCCACAACAGTAAGAGGAGTGGCAAGGGGACCCAGATTGGGCAGGGATTAGGAATGGGGTGGGGAGATGGGAGGGTGTCTGGAACTTGTGTATTTGGGAGTTTCATAAAAAAGCCAATGAAATTACAAAAGATATTAAGCGTGAATATATATTCAGAATGAAAGGAGATCAGAACAAATTATATTTTAAAAACTTGATGAATTCCACAAAAGCACAAATACAAAAGAAATAGTTTTTTAGGTCAGTGAACTGCCTAACCACTCCTGAAATTCTTTGTTCTAACGTTGCTCCACTTACTGCTGCATCTGATGGCTGAGAGATGTCCATGGACCAGTTTCTGGCCCTGCAACACTGGCCTCTCCTCCTTGCTGGGCACACTTCCAGTCTGGGTGCATTTCTGGTGCCAGGTGCTATGGGACACGTTTGTGTTGGGTCCCCTGGCCTGAGCTCCATGTCACAATGCAGGGGAGTTGGCACGGGAGTGTGGCCATTTGTGCCAGGATGGCTGGCGATAAAGATATCTCCACTGCACATATGCCCATCCGCACTGAACACAACTCAACCCACCCTAACCCAGATCCTAGGTAAGCCCACAGCCTTCCAGGGTCACCTGGTGAACATCACTGACTTTGTGGTTAAATTCACATCAGAGGAGTGTGTTTCCTGAAGCCAGTCATCTCCATGGATGGAGGAAGGGAGCCAGTTAGCACGCTCAGTTCGGGGAAGAAATCAAGTAGTTTCTCCCTCCACTGGGGGAGAATGAGTGAGGAAGAGGCCAAGAGAGCCCCCATGTTTCCCCCCCAGAGAGTGGGCACCTCTCCTTCTATGGAGATATGAGGAGTGGGAGATAATGTCTCTGCTCCTTGCAAAATGCTTCCTTTATAGCAATTGGCATGGTGTGTAATTTGGGTAATAATATCTGACCTTCATTACATTCCCCTCACTAGCACGATGTCTAGTACAAAACAGGCACTCCTTAGATACTTGGTGAAAGTAAACAGGTAGGGAAGGAGGGAGGAGGGGAATTTCTATTTAGTAGAAGCCTTTTTGGTTCAGGAATCCTCTTCTTGCTCTCTTGCTTCATGAGTTGAAGTTATTGGAGGAGAACTTGAAGGCAATGATTCTAAATGCACTGAGCCCCACTGTACGTACCGCGATCCACACACTGTAGGTCGGCTCTGGGGTCCTGGTTCCCAGCTGCTATGGGACACCTTGGCGTTGGCTCCCCAGGCCTGAGGTCCATGTCACCATGCAGGGGAGTTGGCACACGAGTGACCATTTGTGCTGGGACGGGTACCATAGCACTGGACACCGGATTGGTGTATGGATTGCAGACTCATGGGCCTCCTGTTGGTTTAGCTTGAAACTGGCTACAGTGAGAGTGTCTGCACCGGAGAAGTCGGCCCTTTGCCAGCCATCCTCCTCCTCTTCCAGTCCTTGGTCTCAGCATCTAACATTCCCCAAATCACGACCGGCTCCCTCTGCTCCCTCCTGTTTCCCCTACCACCTAATGAGTCCTTGTTAAAGTAAGCACCACGGTCTGGTTACCATGAGGAGAAGCTCCAAGCATGTGCACCCAACCAGCCGCCACTTAAATGCCAACACCCCAGTCCGGGAACGGGCCATTGATTTTTTATTTTTTCACAAGCTTTGAATTCGGAAATAAGAGTCACAATAAGTCAGTCGTTAAGTAAAAATGGGGGTGATTACAAAGGAAAACTATGTACAAAACTTTAAAAATCCGACTGCTCCATCATCCACCTTGGAGGGACCAGGACTTGGGCACCGGGAGCAGCCGTGGCCCCACCGTGCTCAGCCCCGAGCGCGGGCGGGAGACCCCTTTCTGAGGGTGAACCCGGCTCGGCCCGCAGTCCGGAGCTGGCTGGAAGGACACACACGGACCGGGAAGACATGGCGAGCTAGCGGCGCCACGGAGACCAGGGTTCCCGACACGGGACGTGGGTGCGGCTTCTCGGTAAGCGGCTGGGGCTGGGGGGCTCTCTTGCCTGGGAGAACCCACCCAGGACCTCACGGCGGGTGTGGTGGGGTGGGGCGATGGGGACACACTTTCCTTGTGAGAGATCTGGAGATGCCGCCCCCGCGAGGGCGTGAGGTCTGGGCTTCGTGTCCACGTGGGTCTTCGGGCCGGCTTCCATCAGACGCACGCACAGACTCGCATACATAACTTAGTAACATGCATCAACTATCCTAGAACAGCTAGAGGGGTGCAGGGGAACCACTCGGAGAACCGTGAAGCCCGTGGCGTCGGGAGTGGGGGACAGTACAAGACAAGGTCAGAACCTGTGTTCGCTAAGGAGGGGCCTGCGGAGACGCCATGCTCTGAGGTGGACTCGGATGAACACACGACTGTGGGCGGGGGATTTCCAAGCAAACACACCACACTAGTACCACTGCTTCCTAAACCAAGAACAGGGAAAGAACATCATTCCATCTCCCTCCCCCCTCCATCAGTACCAAACACAACTGTGGGCTTCCAAACACCGACAGGGTAAGGGGCGGACGTCCTTCCCAGAATCCTTCACCCTGGCTCATCCACGCCTGGCCTTCACCCGAGGCTGGTGATGTTGGAGCGGCCACCAGGGGGCGCCACGATGCGGTGGCCGGTGCGCCGGGGGTTGTTGTCATCTATCTGGGCGCCTGGGAAGAGACACGGCCAGTCACTCGGAGGTCTGTGGACACCGGCTCCACCGGCTGTCCCTGCCCTCTAGGGTCATGTCGCCATGTCATGCCCTTGGGACATGCATGGAGCCCTTGTCATGACCAGCCCTCCATCTTCCCCACCCTGCAGTCCAGGCTGACCACTGGGAAGGCTCCCTGACCTCCACGGAGTCCACTGCTCTCTCTTCTATGCCCCCCGAGGCCCCGGGGCCACCCTCCTGCAGCACTGACCACCCTGTTCTCTTTTCTTGTCTGGCCTCATGTTCTTGCAACAGGGGAAAGTGAAAGTGAAAGTCGCTCAGTCATGTCTGACTCTTTGCCACCCCCATGGACTATACAGTCCCTGGAATTCTGCAGGCCAGAATACTGTGTAACCTTTCCCTTCTCCAGGGGATCTTCCCGACCCAGGGATCGAACCCAGGTCTCCCACATTGCGGGTGGATTCTTAACCAGCTGAGCCACAAGGAAAGCCCAAGAATACTGGAATGGGTAGCCTATCCCTTCTCCAGTGGATCTTCCCAACCCAGGAATCGAACCGGGGTCTCCTGCCTTGCAGGAAGATTCTTTACCAACTGACCTATCAGGGAAGCCTGAAACAGGGGGACAAACATTTATTGAGTGCCTACTGTGTGTGGGCAGACTTGGTGCTTTAGCATATGTTGTTGAGTTCAGGGCACAGAGCAGTCCTGTGAAGGGGATGTTGTTTTACCCCCCAATTTACAGATGAGGAATTTGAGGCTCAGGTCACCCATTGGAGGGGCACCACTGGAGGGCAGAGAAGCCAGAATTCTAGCCCCAAGTGGTCCGCCCCCAAATTCCAACATCCCCAAGGTGTTTTATGTGTTACATGCAGGGGCACATGTGTATGCATGTGTGTGCATGCATGTGTGCCTGTGTGTGAACACTCAGGGCTGGATTTACCCACCCCGTTTCCAACGGGCAGATCTGCAAGGAGGTAGGGACAGCCTTTTTTGTTTTAAATCTGCAAAGCTAACCATCCATTCTAATTTCATGCATTCTCTTGCAGTTAAAGATTTTAAATTCCAGAACTAAATTCAGTGCCGGCACTCAATGAATATATATTACAATAAATATTGAAAGCTGGATTATGCTGGGGAGGAGGAGTGTTGTGGAGAGGGTCCAGTCAGATTTTCCTTCCAGTACAAATGGGCTCAGGGAAAGCAAGAAGGTCTGGATTGAGGGACCCTCTAATTCATGTCCCCCGTAGCATGATCCCTGAATTGCTGTGGTAGGTTGTCACCCCCACAATTTAAACTGGTATTTAAACTGGTATCTTCTCTCTGTCCCTCCATCTTCCCTTTTGCCAACTACATTGCCTTTCTATTTAAATGCCCTTCACTCCTGCTGGACCAGAAATCAGCCCACTGACAAAATTCAGCTCTCTTTTTGTACAGCCCATGAACTAAGAATAGTTTTTACATTTTTTAATGGTCTTAGATTTTGCCTCTTCACTCGCAAAACTGAAAATATTTACTATCTGGCCTTTTAAGAAGAAGTCTGCTGACCTCTGGACTGGACTGAGGCTGCCCAGCCATGTCTTATTCATCACCATCTTCCTGGTACCTAGCACAGCAAGTGACCCACGCTAGCGCCTCAATCGAAATTCCAAGGTCCCAACACACGCACGCCTGCCCTCGTGTGGTGAGATGATGAAATTGCAGACACACGTCCCAAGAACCTTCAGAAAGGCTGAGGGACCACGAGAACTGATTTTCTCCGCACACATTTGCTGAGCATCAAGCCCTGGCATTTTGACACTGAATGTCTTGGGGCCTTAATTTCCTCCTTAAAGAAGTAGGAATAATATGACTCTACACACAGGGCTGTTGTGAGGCTGGAACAGTCATGAGTTCCTAGAGTGTGTGATAAACCACCGTGGATGCGGCTGGCTAAATATCCAACCCAGAAGATACACCCAGCAAAGGCAGCTACTGCGACTTCCCCTCCACGCTCAGCTTCACGGGTAAGAATGAAAATGGACCCAAGTGCGTTAAGGACGAGCACACTGACAATTTACGCATATTCATCATAAACCAGGGTCGTGTGTCTCTATGCTGCTCCCGTGGACCCCCTCTGCTTTCTGCACAACCCAGGAGGAAGGGAGGAGGCGATCCCCCACCCCCATCTTTGGTTTCTGGAGTGTCTGAGGCCTTGGGTCCATTTCTTAGGAGTTCGCGGTGCTGGGAGCCGCTGCAGGTTGGGGAGCCTTGGCTGCTGTAGTTTCTCACCTGATAAACTGAAGTTGGACTGGTGGAGGTTTCTGATGGGTGGAGGCTGGTGTTTGGAAGGCGAGGATTTGACAGAAGGAGCGGGAGTTGCATATTTGGGTGTGGCTGGCACCTCGTACACAGGCCCGTCATACATGCCCCTGGGAACCCCTTGCAACCCAGAAACCTGAGAGAGGGATGAGGAGAGCAATTTATCGACAAGATGCACATATGCATTCCCATGTGCAGGAGAGTGACCTGTGGTCTCCCTGGGAAATGCACAAGTATGCACACACATGCTTGTACACACACCACACACAGGCACACATACACATGCACTGGCATACCTAAATGACACACGCACACACACGTGTACACACGTCGATGCATGCACACACCACACTACACATACACATAATTCACACACATATGTGTACATGCACACACAAGCCTGGATACACACTAACAAACAAGCATAATACACACACCACATGCATACACACAATTTACATATGTACATGTATGCCTGCATATATACACTAATACACGCATATAATGCACACATCACACATGCATACGTACAATCTAACACATATTCATATAAAGACGGGCACACACACACTCACATGCATACACACACACAGAGCTTCCTGCAGAACTCCAAAGCCATTTCCAAGAGGAAAACACTTTCCCTGATACCCACACAAAGACTCCTGAACCGGGGACTGGGGGCATCCAAAGCCATATCTTCACTGTGGATTAGGGGATGTTGGGTAGTTTGTTTGGAAAGTGATCCCAGACAGGAGGAGAGGACGAGAGGGTCACCTCTATGGGCAACTGGCTCAGAACAACTACCAAAGCAAACCTCTGCCGGGACCCAGAAGTGAATGGGGCAAGGCACCCAGCCCTCTGCATGGGTTGAGGGTTGCCCCGGGGTACAGAGCCCTGAGCAGAGAAGCTAAAACTTGCAGGGACTCAGGTGGGAGGCTGGGAGCCTGCCAGTGGGCTCAGAGCCGGCCAGGGGTCTGTGGGCGTCTGCCCTAGGTCCTGGGAGACAGTGTGTGGCCAGGGACACAAGCAGGTCCCCACTGTGAATCAGTGACAGCGCCCCAGCCTCACACCCACTTCCCTCCGCCCCGGCACAGGTGATGACACCGCGACCCCAGTCCTCGGCTCCCTCCTCCTACACAGGAGGAGGGGGAGGCTCGGGCAGAGACCCCGGCTGTCACCTTGTTCCGGATCCTTATACGCTGGTAGAGGTACTCGGGGAAGGGCTTCCTGGGGATGAAGCGGCCCATGCCCTTGTTGACGTTGATGTTGCCATCCTCGAAGACGATCTTGCCCTGGCTGATGACAACCAGCGGGGAGCCGTGGCACTCCATGCCTTCGAAGATGTTGTACTCCACGGCCTGCAGGGCAAGAACCACCGGTTTAATCAGTTCCCCAGGCTTTTCTCTGCATGAGCCCTGCTCATCCTGAGGGTGATTCTGCTACACAGGCTATCACAGGTATTTTCCAGTGTTTATTCTTTCTGGAAAACACCTTAGGGCCACACAATATTCCTTTGTATGCTCTTTTATTGGTATAATCAGCCCCTCACTGTTGAACTTACATGTTGCTGGTGGTTTTATACAATCTAACTAATACCCTCTGGGGATCTTGAATGTGAATGGGGTCCCTGGAGTTAGGAAATGCAGCCACTCTGATTAACATGGACATTTTGGGGTCTCATTTTTAAAGACATTCTTTAGGATTGTTTCCTAAAATTAAATTACTGGGTCACAGGGAAATGAGCTTTTGAAAGGCATTCATTGCAGACTGCCAAATAATTTTCTGAAGGCATCAGATGAATTGACACAAGGCAACAGCGGACTACTTAGTGATTTCATGTCTATGAAATCCCCTCAAGCACTGGGTAAGGTCTTTTTTATTTTTTCTGTCTTTTTAAAAAATCGTTTGAAGGACAAATCATTTCCTTAAAACATAACGCATTCCCTTCATAACTCCTAAAGTGAATATAACTAACACCAGCCACACTCTCTGATCATTCAAAAAGTAGGTCATGTAGACAGTAAAAATTCCAACTGAACAAAAGATACATCATTTTAAAAAGCAGGTCTGTCTTCACCCTCAGACTAAGAACCCTGCCTCAGAGTGGCATTTCTCCATTGGGGAATTCTTCTGAGGCTCAGGTTAAATTGCCCACAATGTCACATTCTGTATTTCACAAACACATAGAGTTTTGGCTTTTTTGGTTTTGTTTTTTTACTGTTAGTTTTTAATCTCTGGCCACACAGTGTGGTTTGTGGGATCTTGGTTCCTCAACCAGGGATCAAACCTACAGCCTCGGCAGTGAAAGTGCGGAGTCCTAACCACTGGACCACCAAGGAATTTCCACAACCACACAGAGTTTTAGAAGCTAATAGAACTGCTTCATTACTTAAAGGTGCTACATGAACAAAGTAAAAATTTAAACCGTACAAACGACTCTTATTTATAAAACTGTCGTCACTTCCATGCTGGGCCCCCAGATATTTTCTGTATGTGCATAACTATCTCGTGTTCCAGGTGCTCTGCACACAGTTTTCACTTTTGCTTTTCTCCTTACCTCCGAGAATGTTCCTGTCAGCACATCTCAAGGGTTAAAAATGTCTTGACATTCCTTAAAATGCTGAACTGGATTCCACCCCAGGGACATAATCAGTTCAGTTCAGTTGCTCAGTCATGTCTGACTCTTTGCGACCCCAGGGACTGCAGCACACCAGGGACATAATATCATTTACTTATCCAGTTTCCAGGGACAAACATGAGGGTCATTTCCCTGCTTTTGCTAAAAAGCACGATAAACACACATGGGTGTCCACACAGGCATATATGAACATCTTCCTAGACGTGGTGTTCGGGCCAACATGTAAATGGATTTTAACTTAAATTTGCCCTCCGAAAAGGCAGCACTGTTTTCCATTCCCAGTGAAACCCCATGAGTCAGTTGGCCTCCTTGTCAGACCTCATCTCTGTTCTCTTAAACCCCTGCATCCCAGTCACTGGTGCAGGTGAAAACAGCATTCTACGGCGGTGATTTGTATTCGGTTAATTATACGTAAGGTCAGGTCTGTTTCTGAATGAATAGCAACCCTTTGTGTTTTTGCTCCTTGTTCTATTAAGCTCATAGTATTTTCCTTAATGGTTTCAAAGGACACATTCAATGTTAAAAAAATTTCTTGTGTATGAGAGCTTGAATAGAATTTGTATCCTACTGTTGTGTGAAAATTGTATAAATCTAAATTATGTTGAAATAGTTTATAGTGCTTTTCAGGTCTACAATATCCTTCTACTTCTCTATATATTCATTCTATTCATTTTTAAGAGTTTGATATTGAAACACAACTAAAAATCTTATTTTATCTACTTTAAAAAAGTAACTGTAATATATAGTGTAATTATATGTAGCCTTGTTCTGTATCTTCCAAGTCTCCTGTAAATGTATAACCATACTTTCATAATTTTAAAAATTAAAATACATTAAAAAAAATTTCTCCCTTGGTTTGTATTGCCAATACTTCCCCTGCTCATCTTCTGCCTTTTGATGTCATGTAAAGTAGTAAGTACTATTACCTGCTGCAATATAAAGGGGTTTTTTTTCTTGGTTTTATTTGTATGTAGTCGGTGGTCAAACAGACCAGTCTTCTCCTTCACAGTTTCTAAGTTTTGTGTCTTGCTTAGGTCCTCCCACCTTCAAAAATGATCATTTTTAAAAATGGGTTTCATTTTTAAACTTTCATTTCATCAGGCACCCGCCTGACGCCTTTCATAACTTCATTTCATTTCAGTCTTTGACCCATTTCCATTTGTTTTGCAGTCAAGAGCACAGCAGAGGTCTAGCCCTATGAGCCAAGTGTTCAAACACAATTGACTGAATAACTGTCTTTGTCTAATTTCAACTGTCTCCGTCTAATTTCAACTGTCTCCTTTGTCGGAAATCAAATTCTTGTATGTGGTCAGTCTACTGCGTGGCTCCCTTTTCTCATCCTCTAATACTGAACTATCCTGATGATTGTAGCTTTATAATAACTGGACTGATTAGCACTGGTTCTTTCATTTTTTTCAGAAATGCTTTGGCTATTCTCACATTTTCCATCCAGGAACCCTGTTTTTCTAGTTAAAAAACAACTCCATTACATTTTATGAGAAGATGACTTCAGCTTTATAGATTAAATTAGAAAGAACTGATATATTTATTCTACTGAATCTTTTAGCATAGAAGAAATTGCATTTATGGAACTCTTCCATTTTGACTGTTTTTAAAACAGGAATTTGATCCCCATTCTGTTGTTCCAAGTGCTCTTTCATTATCTCATAGTAAAGGTATAGATTCTTCATATTGATTTGGAATTAGCCTTAGTGTTTGTGATGGTTTTTAGGTGTGGACTCAGGGCTTCAGGGAAATAATCAGATTGATTTTCTATAAGTAGATGCTAATACTATGCCTTAGACTCTTCGTGGCCACTGCCTCCCAGGACCCAGGCGGATGATCTGTTTTCAGTTTCAACATTTGCTCATCTAACGTGTCCTGAGGCAGACTGAAGTGATCCCGCTAGGCAGTAATTTGTAATTTTGTTGAAGCATAAATGTGGATTGTAAATGCCAAAAAGCGGTACAAGAAGCAAATCATTAACTCCAGTCAAAACTAGCCAACTGCACACTCACTCAGCCCAGGATGATCTGCTGTCTTCTTAGTGGAAGGACAGTCAAATGCCACAGGGGCATTCCTCACTTGGGGAATTCTATGAGGCTCAGGTTATATCACCCACATAGTATTAAGAGCAGAGTCAGCTGAGAATGCTGCCAGGAACCTCGGAGACGGAGGGAGAAACAGACGAGGGGTAGAGAGAGGAGACAGAGAGAGAGATGCTAGAACAGTTCAGCTGAGCCTGCTTCAAACCCTTCTCCCAATCTCTCCAACCAGAGGAGAAATCGGAATGACAGAGTCATACCAGATATCACACTAATTAGATCATACTAATTAGAAAATTCATGAATCATTTTTAACCAGAGGCTCCTAAAATGACCACAGAGCAAGACCCGTTCACCCAAGGCAGGAGCGTCACTGATAAACCAGGCCTTACCGACTTGTGACTCTTGGCTGTTATGGTCTTCACCTTGTCTGGGTCCCAGATGACCACGTCCGCGTCCGAGCCCACGGCAATCCTCCCTTTTCTGGGGTACAGGTTAAAGATCTTGGCTGCGTTGGTGCTGGTAACAGCGACAAACTGGTTCTCATCCATCTTGCCAGTAGCCTGAAGCAGAGATCCGCTGATGAGAAGAGCGGCTCACAGTAGGATCAGAAGGGGCAGTCAGCACAGATCTAAAGCAGCCAATGCGAGTCCTTGTAAGGTCTCCAGAATTTTCTTCTCCTCTGCCCGCTGAAACCAGGCCACCTTGAAAGAGTGCCAGGGGCCTGGCTTCATCAGAGCGGAGGAGATGTAATTAACCACTCCGAGGTGTGTTAATATTTTCCCGATGGCCATCCTGACATCTGATCAGTTTCACTGGGCCCAAGTTTAATCGAAAATAAAAATCTACTGTTTCAAGCGAGTGATCGAGGTGTGACCCAGGGATTCCTTATGGAACAGGAAGTCTCCGTACCCTGCTCTCAACCCTAACCTCGAACACACACACGGTTTACAAAGTTATCTTTACATGGACTAAAATGTGGCTCAAAACAAAACATCTTCATCCTTAAAGACTAAAAGACAGCTGCTACCTTATCTGCACACGCAGAGGATGCTACATGGCTCGCATTGATTTCCTCTTTTCTAATTAAAACAGCTTTTTTAGTTAAAAAGACATTTTTTTTTTTTTTGGCCACATCTCGAGGCATGTGGGATCTTAGTTGCCCGACCAGGGGTTGAACCCATTCCCCCTGCATTGGAAGCTTGGAGTCCCAACCACTGGACCGCCAAGGAAGTTTCCTCAAGCTTTCCTACTAAGGGTCCACCTGTTTTCCATGTGCCATCCTGGTACATTCTGCTTCTCCCTTGAAGCAAGAAAGGAATTTAGGAACCAGAAGGGCCCGACACACTGCTTCGATGGGCCAGGAGGGCGTTTCTAGAACATTCCAGGGGGAGACACCGCCGCCTTACCACCGCCTTGTCCCAGACCACGGTCATGCGCTCCTCTATCCCGTTGATGCCCTCAGGGATCAGAGTGAAGTTGTCCTTGCCCACCGCCTTCTGCGCAGTGCTGTAGGGACAGTGGCCGCTGCCCGTGACCTGCAGGTCTCCACTGGCAAAGGCAAAACAGGGTGGGGTTCAGACCTGAGTGCACACTGAGGATCAGGCTTTGACTTAAACACCCAAGAAGGCTGTGAAACTCAAAGCCTAATGAGATTCGGGGCACATTATGGGCTTTACTCTGCCAACAAAGGTCCACATAGTCAAAGCTATGGTTTTTCCAGTAGTCATGTATGGATGTGAGAGACCAAAAAGAAGGCTGAGTGCCAAAGAGTTGGTGCTTTCAAACTGTGGTGCTGGAGAAGACTCGTAAGAGGCCTCTGGACTGCAAGGAGGTCAAACGAGTCAACCCTAAAGGAAATCAACCCTGAATATACACTGGAAGGACTGATGCTGAAGCTGAAGCTCCAATACTTTGGCCACCTGATGCGAAGAGCTGACTCACTGGAAAAGACCCTGATGCTGGGAAAGATTGAAGGCAGGAGGAGAAGGGGACAACGGAGGATGAGATGGTTGGATGGCATCACCGACCTGATGGACATGAGTTTGCACAAACTCTGGGAGATAGTGAAGGACAGGGAAGTCCATGGGGTCTCAAAGAGTCAGACATGACTGAGCGACTGAACAACAATAGGCTTTACTGGGTGACACCACAAGGCCCACTGGTCTTTGGTGTCTGGTTGAAGACTGGAAAGAGACCTGGGCGTCAGGAGTAGGTTCTGTGTGAGCGTGGACTCTGGGTAACGCTCCCCAGGTCAGCCTTTCCCTCCTGCCCTAAAACAGGTCCTGAGGCGCTGGCCTGTTCTTTTCCTTTTTAAAATATTTTGGAGTATAGTTGATTTACAACGTTGAGCTTCTGCTGTATATCAGAGTGAGTCATATACATATAGACTTTTTAAGGTTCTTTTCCCACATAGGTCATCACAGAGTATTGAGTAGGTTTCCCTGAGCTATGCAGGAGGTCCTTATCAGTATCTATTTTATATATACTAGTGTCTGTATGTCGATCCCAACCTCCCAATTTATCCCTCCCCCTTTCCCCTTGGGAGCCATGTTTGTTTCCTACATTGTGAAAACATCTATCCCACGTCTGTTTCTGCATTTGGTATCATATGACGTTCGCTTTTCCCTGTCTTACTTCACTCGGTATGATAATCTCCAGGACCATCAGTGTTGCTGCAAATGGCATCATTTCCCTCTTAGTGGGTATGTTTTCACCCCTCGGAGAGAGAGTTCACAGTGCCCCCAAGATGCAGTATCCATGCAGAAACTTGCTGAGAACAGAAGCTACTAAAGATGAACAGGTGACTCTCCTTCCACTCTGCATCTCACGAGACCTCTGAACAACCCTTTGACTTTACAGATCCAACAGGTCTGCTTTTAAATCCCCGACCTGCCACCTCCTGGTCAGGTAAGTCACTCCTCTTTTCCACATGCATAAAACGGAGAAGAGAATACAACCTTCCATCCAGAGTCACTCTGAGGAGCCAGTGAGCTACTCGCCTGGCACTCAGTAGGTGTCAAAGATGCTAACTCCCTGCTTCTCTCTCCTTCCTCCATCTCTCTTTGAGTGCTCGGTGAATTTTATGTTATGTGAATTTTATCTCAAGGTTTAAAAAAAGAAAAAAAAAAACCTGAGTGCAGCCAATGAATGAATGAACATATAAATAAGTGAGTCAAACACCTAGCCTCCAGCACATGCCTGTGAGTCTCATGGAGTCAGGGATGTTTGTGCTGGAAGGAAGGTCACATCCCCGGCCTCATATCCCTGCCAGGTCACATGGGAAAACATCAAGTGCTGCCACGGGTCATCCTTCTGTAAGGCTGGTGTTTCTGTAAGGCTGGTGTTTCTGTGCTGCGCCCGAGGGACAAAATGCTATTTGTTGATTTGCTGATTGTAATAAAGTGACCACAAGCTCACTGGGTTTGCTCTTCCGTCCCTCAGGCGCTGGAGAGAAAATATTCTGGGACTATGTGATGAGCCCCAAACTGGCATCTAAATCAATGTGATAAATGGAGCATTATTTTGTGATTTTCAATGAGGGCAGAGGCCAGCCTCTAGTTCAGAGCCCCAGGCACGTGAGCAATCATCTAGACATACAAAAGTATATTCAGATGTGATATTCACTCATTTATTCAACAAAGGTGTGTGGTCCTGTGTCTGGCATAGTCCTAGGCAACGGGGATGCACCGACAAGCAGAAAGACACAAATGTCTGTGTTCATTTGTTGACATTCCAGTGCAGGGTGGATAAGTCAGGAACATACAGTCTATCAGGAGAATGAGTACCAGGGTGTGTGGGGTAGCACTGGGGTTGCCATTTTTCAGAAGATGATTCGAACTCTCTGAGAAGAAATCTTCCAGCAAAGAGCAGATCAGAAGATGGGTAAGAAAAGACTGCGAGGCAGGGGTAGAGTGAATGCAAAGGCCCTGTGGTGCCAACCTGCCTGGGGTACATTTAGCTTGAGACCAGTGGGCTGGACCGGAGGAGCCGCGGGGAGAGGAGGGCCGGGCAGTGTTAGTGAGGGGTGAGGTCAGATCAGGTTCAGCCCTGAGGGACATCGTGGGAACTTGGGTTTCACTTCAAGAGGAGAGAACCCTGGAGGTCCCCTGGCCAAGGGATGATTTGGTCTGACTGAAGTTAAAATTTCTCAGCATCTAGTGAGAACAGGCTGTGATGCGACGAGGGTATAGAAGAGGCCACGTGGAAATAAAAGAGGGCACTTCGGAGGTGAGAGATGATGGTCCTTGAGCCAGGATGGCTTCAGCCAAGGAGGAGGAAGCGGCCAGATTCCAGGACCTTTGGTCCATGTCCTGCCTTCTCCTGAGACAGGCAAGATCTGGGGGAGCGGCAGCTCCCTGGGGGACGATCAGGAGTTTGTTTTGGATTTGGATCTGCCCACCAGACTTCATGCTGCAGACTCTGAATAAGCAATTGGATGTGTAAGTCATGGGCCACTGCATCCTTTTTGGGGAAAAGGAATTTGAATGCTGGGTACATAGCCTCACCCTCTTAGGGTTCCTTCTGATTAGAAGCTCCTTCTTATCCTCACCCATAAGGCAAACTCTTATGTATCTCCTAGCACCAGGCCTGATGTCACTTCCTCCAGGAAGCCTTCCAAGCTTGCATCTCCACTTCCAGAGCAGCTTGCACCCTTTACCACTTAGCCTTCTCCTGTAGCCTCAAGTACTCTTCCCTCACACTGGCGGACAGCAGAGAAGGGACTGAAGTAGCTGTGCTCCTAATGTGTGCAGGAAGCAGACTGGAATGCACTGGCTGCTGCAAACCCTGAATTCCAGGCCTTTTGCCTACACTACCTCACACCCAGCTCTGCAGTAGGTACTGTGTTCTCCCCACTCTGCAGATGAGCCAACTGAGGCAGAGACATTACAGGTTAGGTGACACGACCAGGCTGACACAGCCCATCAGGGGATGAGACAGGGTTGGGATCCTGGTCTCACATTCCTAATTCTGGGTGCTTCCCAATGCACCCCTGTGCCAGGTACACAGAACGTGCTTAAATATTGCTGAATGAATGGCAGGTGACCTATAAACTTGAATAGAAGAGTTTACTGATTAAAAGGCCTGAAAGTGTTAAGATGCTCAGTTGTATCCGACTCTTTGTGACCCCATGGACTGCAGCCCGCCAAGCTCCTCTATCCATGGGATTCTCCAGGCAAGAAAACTGGAGTGGGTTGCCCTTCCCTTCAGGGGATCTTCCTGACCTAAGGACTGAGTTGGATCTCCTGCATTGCAGGCAGGTTCTTTACCATCTGAGACACTAGAGAAGCCCCAAAGGCCCCAAGGCCTGCTGTAAACTACGAGGAGCTTTGTTCTGAGGTCTCCGGGGTGCCCAGCCCAAGGTCCGCTCACAGGTGTGCCTGAGGCAGTTGCGAATTTCAGACCTTCAACGTGCCCAAAGGCCCCGCCCACCTGCCCAGCCCAGCGAGCCCGCCCACCTGCCCAGGCCCGAGACCCCGCCCACCTGCTCAGCTCTGCGACCCCACCCACATGCCCAGACCCAAGACCCCGCCCACCTGCCCAGACCCAGGACACCTGCCACCGCAGGGCTCTCACCAGGCCAGTAGGGAGGTCAAGTAGTCAGGCGTGGTGGGATCCGGGCTCAGGGGAGGGGAGGTCACGAAGGCCGCCGCCTTGGCCCAGTTCTTGCTCCAGTAATGGGTGCCGTCCGTCCCCAGACTGGCAGCGATGGGTTCACCAAAAACAAGGGGGCCTGGGGAGGCAAACAGACATGCATGGTTGACAGTGGATGGTCTCTCGTGGGAGATGTGGATGCAGGAAAATGGAATCTCAGAGGCCAGCTAATAAGACTGGGGTAGATCACACCCATCCACACACACCTCAGAGCCCCAGCCCCCGGGTACCAGGCATTCAGCACCCGCTGTCCCACTCAAGTGACCCTGCGGACCGCCAATGCTTTCAGCACTGGGGTCTGATCATTATCTCCGTTTATGATGGTCAATCGAGGCACAGACATCTGAGGTGCTGTCTTCCATGGGTTCTGCCAGAAGCAGGTCTTCAAGTGAAAAATCGAGTTCAAGCGTTTTATCTGGAGGGGCCAGGAAACAATTCGGCGGGCATGGAGGACATGACATAGGCTGAGAGAGACGCCGAGGACGGGCGAGTGAGCACCCAGTCATGGCTGTGGGCGCCCACAGCTCAGTGCCCTGGGGGCTCCAGGAGCCTCAGGGCCGTCCCACCCTGCAGAGCGAGGGGACCGGGGTGTGCAGCCACCAAGCCGCTGGGGGGCTCCTAGCTGAGCACTCAGTTTCCAGGGAGGGGCCAGAGGTGTTTCTGCCAGAACAAAACCCACAGGCAAAGTCTCAGGCTTAGTGAGAATTCCTGCAGCTGAGGAAGTGCCAAGGGGACTTGGGCCCACCGCTCTGTGGCGTGTGCCCGGGGCCACAGTGCTGGCGAGTGGGAGGGAGGCTTTGGTCTGCAGCAGCCTGGCTCTGGGATGGTGCCACCCAACAGCAGTGGTGGGACTGTCCTGTGCCAAGCTGTCCGGGGCAGGAGCCGCCAGCCCTGGAGCACGAGAAGCAGGGCTAATGCCACTGTTGTTGAGGCGCTCAGTGGTGTCTGACACTTTTGAGACCCCCGTGGGATTTTCCTGGCAACATGACTAGAAGCAGGATGTCATTCCCTTCTCCAGGGGATCTTCCTGACCCAGGGATCGAACCCGCATCTCTGAATCTCCACTGTTCGCAGGCAAATTCTTTACCACTGAGCCACCAGGGAAGCAACTAAAGAGCCAACTTAAACACTGCATTTAATTTTGCTTCATTTAAACTGAAATAGCCGTGCACGGTTGGTGGTCACCTTATTTCTCGGCAGCTCCAGGACCTGCGGGCGTAGCCACCTGGTGTGCTTACTTCTGCTTCTGAGTTCCTGTTACTACTCTGAGCTGCAGTTTCCTCATCTTTAACCCGAAGTTGGTCCTCAGCAAGCTGAGCTGGCCTGGTGCACTATCAACACCTCCGCTCATCAGCTTGCCCTTAAAATACTAAAACCAGGTATCTGGGGTTCAAAACTGCTCTGTCTCAGGACCTCCCTGGTGGCCCATTGATTAAGAATCAGCCTTCCAATGCAAGGGATGCGAGTTCAACCCCTGGTTGGGGAACTAAGATCCCACCTGCAGAGGGACAGCCGAGCTGCAACTAATGAGATCATGCACAACAGAAGATCTTGTACGATGCAGCTGGGACCTCACACAGCCACACAAATAATTTTTTTTTTAAAGCTGCTCTGTTCCATATGAAAACCACCAGCCACATTGTGGCTTTCAGGTGTTTGGAGTTGGTCCAAGATGAGCCGTGCTGAAAAGGTGACATACACACTAGACTTTAAAGATAGTACAGAAAAAATGCCAAATATCCTGTTAGTACTTTTATCCTGACTACATGTGGAATGAATATTTTGGACATATATTGACCAACAAGTTCGTTTTGATTTTTCTGTCAAATCTTATGGAAAAAACTCTGACTTTTTTGGTCAACCCAGTAACATATTATTAAAGATTTTTAAGACCAGAGCCACTTGCACTTTCTATCAAGTGTATCTGGGTACAGAGGGTGGTGGATGCTGTCAGGGCTGTGTTGCTCTTGCTGATTTTCACCTGGCCACCCCCTCTGACCCACAGCTCCCCATCAACCTCATACGACTCCCAGCGTGTGGATGGGGTGAACCTTGTCTGGGTGGCAAACGTCCTTGGTGAATGTCCACAAGGATCAAAGAGTCTAGCCACTGTCTCCGTGTGACATGTGCTACCATCATTCTCTCTCTCCTCGGTACATCTGCCATTCTCTCTCTCTCCATCTCTCTTGCCCTGATTTTGTTAAGGAAGGCTCCTCTGGGCAACCTTCCTCACTCTCGACCTGCTGGTTGTTGGGAGCTGTGGGCCTCAATCATAAGGCCTGGACAATGCACTTGGATGCCTCCTCCGAGTCTCCTGGGGAAGGGCCATTGAGTCGTTCAGGGAGGGTAAGTAGTATGTCCAAGTCTTAGAGCTGGAGGCGGACTTCCTGCCTCACTCCCCTGATGTCCAGCATGGGGCTGTCCCCCAGACCCTCTGGCTTCTGGAACAACATCTCCCTCCTTCCCAACCTACAGCCGAGGCTCTGCGTGGGCCCCATGGTGGAGCCTGGGTGCACATGCCCACCAAGAGGCCCTGGACAGGGGACCCAGGATGAAGGGCCCAGAGAGAGGAGCAAAAAGAAGGCAGGGAGGACCCAGGAGCTGATGCAGCCCCAGCTCCATCACTGCCTTGATGTGAAACCCTGGAGAGAACTTGGAACTCTTCACAGACCTATAAAATACATGGTCTCATGTGACCCACACAGGAGGATAATCACTTTAGTTACAAATGGGGGAAAATGAGGCTCAGAACACCACTTACCTGGGGCCCTTGGCACATCAGGAATCAAATCTAAAACCAACCACATGTGTGGCATCTGCCCACCATCCAGCTCCCTTTTCAACCTGGCCTACGGAGCTCAGGCTGGGCACAGCTGGAAAAAGGTCTCTGTCCTGGGCAAGAGCTCCACCGGTGAACTTGAACCTGTTGGACACGCCCCTTCCTCATACCCAGCAGAGATCCCTGGTGCTGGGCTGCATACCTTTCTTCCTGGCCAGGGTGATGATGTCCGCTGCACTCTTACTCATCACCTTGGTGATGTACACAGGGCAGTTGATCCGGCCCGCGATGGTGATGGCCCGGAACACAGCCTCGGCCTCCAGCTGCGGACACAGCGAACATGCAGGTCAAGAGGGGCGGGGTGGGGGGCACCATCCACCCTCAGCACCCAGGGCCCTTCCTGATCAGCCTTCCTCAATTCTTCATGAAGTGTGGTCAGAGGGAAATCTATCACATCAAGGAAGGAAGACACTGTAGATTTTCAAAAAGGGGGAAAAAAAAAGTCAATGTATTCGGCTAGAGGGCTGGAAGGCAGAATTGTGGTATTTGCATGCTTGGCAGTGCTCTGAATGCTGTCAGAAGATCACCTAAGCGGAACAGGCCATCAGAAGGTTCCCACACTGCTCACATGCTTGGTTGCCGTTGTTCACTCAGTCGTGTTTGACTCTCTGTGACCCCATGGACCACAGCACACCAGGCTTCCCCGTCCTTCACCATCTCCCGGAGCTTGCTCAAACTCACGTCCATTGAGTCAGTGATGCCATCCAACCATCTCACCCTCTGTTGCCCTCCTCTCCTCCTGCCTTCAATCTTTCCCAGCATCAGGGTCTTTTCCAACAGGTCAGCTCTTGACATCAGGTGGCCAAAATATTGGAGCTTCAGCATCAATCCTTCCAATAAGTATTCAGGGTCGATTTCCATTAGGATGGACTGGTTGGATCTCCTTGCAGTTCAAGGGACTCTCAAGAGTCTTCTCCAGCACCACAGTTCAAAAGCATCGATTCTTCAGTGCTCAGCCTTCTTTCTGGTCCAACTCACATGCCTGGAGGTGGTTACTTATAAAATTCCTGACATCAGGGAACACAGGTGTCCCCATGCATTCCTTTCCTTCATTTGTTCGACAACCATGTGAAACTACGTGCTATGAGGTTTGGTCTCTGTACCCCCTAGACCAGTACTTCTAGAATAAAAGAACCAGTGATGTTTTTATTGTCTTGTTTTTAATTTCCAATCGTTTGGAGGCCCACATATGGCTGTGCTGCTCTTGGCTGGCAGGGAGCCCAAGCCACAGCCATGTGCTGGGAAAGCAGCCACACCCAGAGGAGTCCCCACACTGCTCACATGCCTAGAGGTGGTGGCAACGTAACATGTTATAAAGGTTTATAAACACTGTCTCCCGTCTGTCCTGGTCTCACCAGGGACGGGGAACCCAGCTCATGGGCATGGACCTCACGTCTGGAGCACTGGGCCAGTTCAGGAATCCTTGGGGTAAGGAGTCTGTGTATTCATGTGTCATGTCCCATGTTCTGGACCAGCCCAGAGTGGAGATCAGAGAAGACTGCCAATGACCTGATGAGACATCAGAAAATGCTGGGTGCCCATTCTGTCCAATGTTCAATCTGCTTGCCTTCCTAATGTCCCCTCTATACACACATACACACACACACATGCAGCCTATCACTCACTCCTGGGGGAATCTGTCAAGTCTTAGAGTATAGCAGACAGGAGGCCTGTGCAGAGGTAGTGATTTGGAACTCGTTCTGCCTGGGACACGGGGCTCCACTTTCCTGTCATCAAATACCCCAAGTCCTCAGTCATGATTCTGACTGAGTGTCCATGGGGCCTTGGTGGGAAGTTCCTGGGTCCTGGGAGAGGCAGAGCCTTTCCCAGTTCTTCTGATGGACTGGCAGCCCCCAGAGCTCCCGAGCCCCAGGGCAGACCCTGGAGAAGACCACACATGCTAAGATGCTCATATGGGGAATGGGACGGGGGCGGGGGTCTAGCCAGCTGCTCCAGCTGGAACAGCACCGGGGTAAGCTCTCAGTTATGTCAGAGTCACACCCAGCGGAGGCTGCTTTACCTCCTCAGGTCTGCTCAGAGCATGGCCCTCAGGACCCGTGATGCCCATCTCTAAGATCCGCTTCTGCTCCTAAAAGACAAGAACGAACGAGTCAGTGATGGCAGAACGCCAGAGCCAGGCGAGGCCAGCCCTCCAGCCCCGTCAGACAGACGGGACAGCTGAGCCCAGGAGGACTGGACCGTGTGGGGTCTAACGGCTGGGGACACCCACGGCTTCTCTGCCCCCCTCACTCCCGGGGCCCACCTTCCCCCTTTGCAATATCCCCATCCACAGGGGCTCTGTTCAGCCCCATGGGACCAGTGAGAGGAAGCAAGACTGTAAGAGATGAACCTCAAAGTCCACGCCCCACTCTCCCAACTTCCAAGTCTCTGCTGCACAACAAGAGAAAAGGAAGCAGGTGGTGTGTGGGTGTGACATGGATGCGGGGATGTGGAAACCAAAGAGCCGGCAACTGGGCACCCAGTTCCAGACCTGAGCATGTGTGTGACTTTGGGCACACTGGTCACGCTCTCATGAGACTCAGTCTCCTTTCTTTCCTTTTGTTAAAAATCGAAGTATAGGTGATCTACAAGGTTGTGTCAGCTTTAGGGTGTAGAGTAAAGGGATTTATTGGAAGAATTAATGCTGAAGCTGAAACTCCAATACTTTGGCCACCTGATGGGAAGAACTGGCTCCTTAGAAAAGACGTTGATGCTGGGAAAGAGTGAAGGCAGGAAGAGAAGAGGACAACAGAGGATGAGATGGTTGGATGGCATCACTGACTCAATGGACATAAGTTTGAGCAAGCTCCAGGAGTTGGCAATGGGCAGGGAGGCCTGGCATGCTGCAGTCCATGGGGCTGCAAAGAGGCACGACTGAGTGACTGAACTGAACAGAAAGTGATTTTCAATTCCGTTCAGTTCAGTTGCTCAGTCGTGTCCGACTCTTTGCGACTCCATGAACCGCAGCATGCCAGGCCTCCCTGTCCATCACCAACACATGGAGTCCACCCAAACCCATGTCCATTGAGATAGTGATGCCATCCAACCATCTCATCCTCTGTCGTCCCCTTCTCCTCCTATCCCCAATCTTTCCCAGCATCAGGATCTTTTCCAATGAGTCAGCTCTTTGCATCAGGTGGCCAAAGTACTGGAGTTTCAGCTTCAACATCAATCCTTCCAATAAAAACCCAGGACTGATCTCCTTTAGGATGGACTGGTTGGATCTCCTTGCAGTTCAAGGGAGGCTCAAGAGTCTTCTCCAACACCACAATTCAAAAGCTTCAATTTTTCTGTGCTCAGCTTTCTTTATAGTCCAACTCTCACATCCATACATGACTACTGAAAAAACCATAGCCGAAAGTGATTTAGTTATACACAAAAGGAAAAAACTGAATGAACTTTTTGACCAACCCAATATATTCCTTTTCAGATTCTTTCTCCTTATAGGTTATTATAAAATACTGAGCAGAATTCCCTGTACTATACAGTAGGTCCTTGTAGGTTATCTATTCTCTATATAGTAGAATGTATATGTTAACCACAAACTCCTAATTTATCCCTCCCCCTCAACCTTCCCCTTTGATAACCATACATTTCTTTTCTAATGTCTCTGCATCTGTTTCTGTTTTGTAAATAAGTTCATTTGCATCATTTTTTTTTAAGATTCCACGTATAAGCCGTTATCATATGATAACTGTCTTTGTCTGGCCTTCTTCATTACTTCACTTAGTATAATCGCTAGGTCCACCCATGCTTGCTGCAAATAGCATTATTCCATTCATCTTCTCTTCTTTATTCTGGAAATAACAGGGCCTGCACCTGGAGTTGCTATAATGCATCACCAAGGTGGCAGATGAGAAATGTTTGGATGATGTATATATAGTCTACAATGTGTATGCGTGTGTGTGTATATATATATATATATATATATAGTGTCTAGTGAGAGCTCTTGAATCATCACCCAGCTCTCATTCCCTCTACTGTAGCTTCATCTTTCTGTCACCTATCTTTCTAACAGGAAAGCTCTACCTCAAACTTTTAAATGAAATGGTTCCCTGAGCTAACAGCCTAGATGCAAATCCATTGGCTCCAAGGCTTCAAGATGCCCCCTCCTTAGGAATACTTCAGCATCTCAAGACTGATCTCTTCACATCGCCCAGATGTCAGCTGTGCTGCTCCTATTTTTAACTTCTCCAGTTTCTGTATCATCATTCTGGAACACATTCCTATGAGAAGCCCCAGACCCTATCAACAATTTAAAAAAAAAACAACATAATTTTAAACTGTGCATGTATGGTTATTAAGCTTGAGTTTATTATAAGAACATAAGCTGGAAATGATTTCAAGATCCAACAGCTGGGGTGGATTTAAGTACAGAACGGGATAATGTCAGCTATTGAAGATGATGTTTACAAGGCATTTTGTAAACTGTTTACAAAAAGATTTATGATATGGAGACATCCCTATGAAAGACTGTTTAAACATCAGTTACTATTTCTGTTGGAAGGAAGAAAAGAGGAGAAAAAGGGAGGGAGGACAAAAGATGAAATAAGGGAGAAAAAAAACGGGTCACAAAAGGCTAGAGAAGGGTTTCTAGTTAACGATCATGGCTGAACACTACCATTATTGTCACTCCATCCTGAAACTCCACTACAGTGACAGAAATGGTACCCAAGAACCAAAAGAATGCAGAGTTGTCAAAAACATTTTGGAACTGGGGAAAGCAGATGTACAAAAGGTAACATATTTATTAGAGCTGAGAAAATTCAATCTTAAATCAGTAGCAAGAGATTTCCCTGGTGGTCCAGTGGTTAAGACTCTGTTCTTCCAATGCTGAAGGACCAGATTTGATCCCTGGGTGGGCTTTCTGCATAGCTGTTGGTAAAGCATCTGCCCACAATGCAGGAGACCTGGGTTCAATTCCTGGGTCAGGAAGCTCCCCTGGAGAAGGAAATGGCAACCCACTCTGGTGTTCTTGCCTGGAGAATCCCATGAACACAGGAGCCTAGCAGGTCACAATTCATGGGATCGCAAGACTTAGCACTATCTTTCTTTTCTTTCTGGAGAACTTCGATTCTAGATGTTGCGTGGTGAGGCCAAAACACATACACACACACACACACACACACACACACACACACACACACACAATGGCAGCAAGAAAAGTTAAAAAGCCCCATTTAAGAACTGGGGTTCCAGAGGCTTCCTTGGTGGCTCAGTGGTTAAAAAAAAATTCTGCCTGCCAATGCAGAGACACGGGTTCAATCCCTGGTCCAGGAAGATCCCACATGCCATGGAGCAACTAAGACCGTGTGCCACAACTACTGAGCCTGCGCTCCAGAGCCTGGGAGCTACAGTTACTGAGCCCATGCACTGCAACTGCTGAAGCCCATGCTCTGCAACAAGCTAAGCCACCGCAATGAGAAGCCTGCAAACCACGACTAGAAAGTAACCCCCACTCGCCACAACTAGAGAAAGCCCATGCGCAGCAACGAAGATCCAGCACAGCCAAAAATAAATAATTTTTAAAAGTACTGAGGCTCCAAACTCAACTTCTTGCACACGTTTGATGAGACACAGGTTGGTACACCCTGGAAAAGTGGGCAACAGTCACTACAAAAGCTGAATACATGCACCACCCCCCCACACCAGCCAGGAATCCTACTCCTAGGTATTTACCAACAGAAATGCGAACATATGTTTAACAACAGACTGAACAAGAATGTTCAAGAAAACTTAACACACAAGAGTCCCAAATTTAAAACAATCCAAATATCTATCAGGGGCTTCTCTGGTGACTCAGACAGTAAAGAATCTGCCTGCAATGCGGGAGACCCAGGTTCGATCCATGGGTTGGGAATATCCCGTGGAGAAGGAAAAAGCAACCCAATTCCAGTATTCTGGCCTGGAGAATTCCATGGACATAGGAGTACAGCAGGATACAGTCCATGGGGTCCCAAAGAGTCAGACATGACTGAACAAATATAAATAGAAAAAAAAAATAAACTATCAACTGGAGAACAAATTGTGATCTATTCCTGCTGTATAATTCTACACCATGATGAAAAAGAAAACACTGTGCTTCAGGAAACCATAGGGATGAATCTCACAGACCTAGGATTGAGCGAGGTCAAATGAGGTCTCTTTCTCCCTCACTTGGAAGGAAGCCGGCTACCATGATGTAGCTGCCCATGTGTCAGGGAGCCAAGGGGGCCTCTGTCCAACAGCCAGCAAAGAATAGAGGCCATCGGTCTGATAGCTTGTGAGGAACTAAATCTTGGCAACAGTCCTCTGAGCGACGCTGGAAAGGAATTCTGCCCCAGACCAGCCATGAGACAACTGCAGCCAGACCCAACACCTTCACTGCAGCCTGTGGAAGACCTCGAGGTCAAAGACCCAGCCAGGCCACACCTGGACTCTGGACCCCACAGGACCATGACACAGAAGAAGTTTATTGTTTGAGGATGCTAAATTTGGGGCAGGGGGATCGTTATACAGCCACAGAGAACTAAAACAGGTTTTGGTGTACAGAAGGGTTTTATCATGAAAGTAAAAGTTGCTCAGTTGTGTCCAACTCATAGCGACCCCATGGACTATATATAGTCCATGGAATTCTCTAGGGCAGAATACTGGAGTGGGTATCCTTTTCCTTCTCCTGATGGCTCAGTGGGTAAAGAATCCGCCTGCAATGCAGGAGACACAGGAGATGTGGGTTCGATCGCTGGGTCGGGAAGATCCACTGGAGGAGGAAATGGCAACCCACTCTGGTATTCTTGCCTGAAAAATCCTGTGGACAGAGGAGCCTGGCAGGCTACAGTCTAATGGTTCACTAAGAGTCGTGAGTGACTAAGCACACACATATACATATACACTACTTAGCATGGCATTAATTACTTTCATTGGACACATCCAAATCTTCTATCTTGATTTGTGGCACCATGATTAACCCAGCCCTTCCACCACAGGAGACGACGTGACCCTTCTTGATCTCCTCCTCTTCTTCCCCATCCACTCAACCATGAGTCTTGTAGGCTGTGCGCCTTCTCTACATCCTCTTGCCCCTTCCACCTCCTCTCTGTATCTTCTCTTCATTTCCTTTGAGAATTGCTGGAGTCAACCCAAGCCAGTCAACCTGACCTTATCCTATTCTCATCAACTTCTCCAGCTCATGGCCAGAATGATCCAAATGGGCTCATGTCTCGCTCTATCCAAAACTTTTGCACAACTACATCAGTCCAACACTGAGTTTTGCATGCACAATATCACTGACCCTCAGATAAAGAGCAGGAGCTTTCCTGGGGTAGAGCTCCCTGCCCAATGTCAGAGGGCCAGGAGATGCAGGAGGCTGGGCTGGAACTCTGCACCTAGCCTGTCTTCAGCCCATCATCCCTGCTCCCAAAGCTCCCAAGTCATGGAGGAGGATGGGCAACCCCAGTTTCCATGTCTGTGGCCTCTGGGGTCTCGTAGGTGTGCCAAATGCATTTTCTTTTGGATCTTCATTTATTGCACGTGCAAACCCTCCATGGGTCACAGGGCAGTCATGTTACCCCTACTGTAAACGTGAGAAAACTGCAATTCAAGAGGCACTCTGGCCTGCCAAAGGCCACACTGCAGACACTGGTGAGTGACTCACCCAGTGTCTGACATGCCATCCAGCTCTGGGCTTGACCCTTCACTGCCGAGTGACCTGGCTGATAAATGCCTCCACCCCCTCTTCTCATAGCCTTTACAACAAGGAGAAGGAGACTGAGGTGGAAAGGCCGGGAATTCAGACCACTCACCTGAGCTATCAAATCACCGTTTTCTGCGTGGACCAGGATCACAGCTCCCAGACCCTTAAGGAAGGTGAAGGCTTCGTAGAGCTAAGGAGGGAAAAACAGGGGTTGGGGTGAGATAGAAATCACAGCACAAGCATTTGCAAAGACTGCCCTTATTGCTCACCCACACAGTCATCCACCTGCCGGGATGCTCCATCCACATCAATGGAACACGTTGTTCAACAAGTGAGCACTGGAATAGATCTCCCCTTAGCCCTACACCCTCCAGATCCAAAAGCAGGAAGTTAAGGTGGGTGGGGAGTGGCGGTGGTGGGGCATAATTGATAAAAGTCACACCAAGGCATGATTATGCCCACAAGTATACCCATGCGGGCCTTTCACTTTCTTTGTGACTTTGCTTCTTTGAAGTATGTAGTTGTTGATGGGGAAAGCTACAGCTGAGAAGTTTACTGAAATTGTATAATTAAATCCGCTGAGCCTGTATTGCAACCACCAACAACCACAGGACATGTGTACATCTTTACAAAAATTCCAATCCATGTCATCTTACAAATCACAGTGTCATTAGAGGGGACCAAGTCCTTTAATAACTGTAATGCCCAGATCACATATATCCTGCCAAGCATCACCTGTTTAGCCAATCCAGGTCCACCCACACTGCCCACTGCCCTCTTCCAACTCACAAAGGATCTGTAGTCAGACAGTTGTATCTGGTGAGGACCAAAGCCACATGTTCCCTCCTTTTGCCAATCTCAACTTTGTCCTCACTGCATATAAGACAACACCTCTCTCACCCAGCATGTGTGCTTTCAAGGGTAGACAACAGGTGAGGGAGGCATATGGAGCCATGGAGCACTTTTGAGGACCCACACCCTGAATCTGCTCAGCTCCATTTCTAACCAGGGCTTCAGTGAAACAGACATTAGAATGAAACAGGTGAAAATGTCAATTATGCTAGAGAAACACACACTACTTTTTCCATGAAACTGAATGAACTTTGAGCCTTTAGGATGCCTTTGATGGTTGTATCAAAGGTTTCCAGGACATCTGGGGTAAGTTATATCCTGTAACTCCAAGTGTCTATTTTGAAAGGGAACACATGGACGCTTCCTCCACTGCACATGAAACCCCATGGTGATCATGACAATCTGCTTATTAATACCCGAATGGCACCTGCTGTGTGCCAGGCGCTGCCCTAAAGCTTCACTTGTATGGAATCATTTAATCCTCTGACAACCTCTCTTTATGGCAAATGCCATTAAGAGCCTAAAGCACAGAGAGATTAGGAAAACTGCCCCAGGCTACACAGCAAAGTTGGGGTTTGCTGTCAAGCAGTCTGGTTCCAGCATTCATTCCCTTTGCCACCATACTGCCCCACCTTTTTAACAAACTAAGGGCAGAGCAATAATACCAAAATCAAACCAGGGGTCCTAGTAGTGAAAGAAGGCCCGGGGCCCAATAAATTGTAACGCTCTGCATCTGTACTCCTCAGAACACTATCTCCCTCGATTCAACTCATCCACATAACAATTGTTTGAGGTTGACAGGGCCAGCGATGATCACGTTGTATAGATGAGAAAAGTACAAAAGGACGTGATTTGCAAGTGGCTGGAGGAACAGCAAGGGCTCTGCTCCAAGGCAGACCTAAGGAAATGGTCCCCAAACTCACTTGAGCCCCAGATTCAATTGCAGAGCTTTTGGGACATACAGATTCCTAAAGCCTCGCCACGAGCATCTCTGATGGAATCTAAAAGTCTGTGTTTTTAGTGAGTTCTTTACATGAGGCTGAGGACAAGCTGAGTTTGGGAACCACCATGCAGGGGGTCCCCGCCCTATGTCACTCTAGCTGGAATGGAATACAGGGTGATGACTGACGGATCAGTGTCAGAACAAGGACTTGAACCCAGAGCCCTCCCCGGCCTACTCTGACATCTCTCCTGCCTGCGCTGCCTTCCTGACAAGGGGGGTCTATTCCTGCCCCGGGGAGGTGGAGGATGTATGAGGACCTACCTGGCTATCGGACATTTGGTAGAGATCCTTGTAAGCCATGTAGACTTGGAAGGAATTGACTCCTGTTTCAAGATAAAAAGAGAGCAAAAAGTGCATTTAAGGAAAAAAAGAACATGTCTAGCCGGTAAACCAATAAGCACAGTACACAGTGGTAGCAACCAAGATGGAAGGGTGCCATCAGAATTCACAGCAGGGGCATCTAAGCTAGCCCAGGGGTGTGGGTGAGGGTCAAACAGGGCCTCCAGGGAAGGTCACGTGTCAGCTGAGTCTGAAAGAGCAGGAAGAGGAAGGGGAAGAGGAAGAAGGAGAGGGGGGAAGGAAGGGGAGGGGAGCTACCTGGGCTGAGAGGGAGGGGTGTGCATGGCACAGATGGAAGGATGAAAGGACATTAGATGTGCGGGTGCTACAAAGTATCCGGTGTCAGAAGCAAAAAGATCATGTGCCTTTAAGAAAATTCCCTTACGCTTTTTCATTCTGGCAAAATATACAAAACAAAATTCAGCATCATAACCATTTTAAAGTGTACATTTCAGTGGCATTTAGCGCATTCACGATGTTGTACCGCCATCACTACCGTCTAGTAGAACATGTGCTTTTAAAGCAAGGGAATGACACGATCAGACTTTTTTGTCCCAGGAGGACTCTTCTGGAAGGAGGATGGGTGTGCAGAACAGCAGGGAGACATGGAGGTGAGCTGGATGATGCTGAAGGCAAAAGGGACCGGTGAGGTGAGGCTCTGAACCAGGGCAGGAGCTGCAGGGATGGAGAGGGAGTGAGAATGTGAAAAGGCTGAAATGACAGGACTTACTGTGCAGTCAGAGGTGGGGGAGCAGGGGAGGTGGGGAGAGGACTGCTCCTAATATGCCTTCAAGTGGCCCCAAGACAGGGACCACATCTGATATGTTATTTCACCTTCCACACCCACAACATGTGCTGAAAAGAGTCAACTCACTGGAAAAGACCCTGATGCTGGGAAAGACTGAGGGCAGGAGAAGTGGGTGAGAGAGGATGAGATGGTTAGATGACATCACTGACTCAATGGACATGAGTTTGAGCAAACTCCGGGAGATAGTGAAGGACAGGGAAGCCTGGTGTGCTGCAGTTTGTGGGGTGGTAGAGGGTCGGACGCAACTGAATAACAACAAACAGGTAAAACCATGGTGGAAGGTAAATTCATAGCCTTAGATGCTTCGTTATTTTGGGGAAGGGAGGAGAAACATGTATCAATTGACTTAATTTCTATGATCAGTTCAGTTCAGTCACTCAGTCTGGAAATTCACCAGAAATTAGAAGTAAACAATACAAATAAAAGCAGAAATAATGAACTGGCAGAATTGATACACATGCCTTAGAACTGGTTCTGCTGAGTGGGTGGATGGGGGTAAAGCTGTCTCAGATTCGCTTTCATCCAAATCATGATAGAGTTGACACATTTTAAATGGAATATTTCTGTAACTTAATTCTTAAAAATTCAAAGTAAAAAGCAATGGTGAACATATCTGCAACAAATTAAACAAAGGTTTCTTTTTTCAAAACCTCTTATTTAAAGAATATCAGCCAGGAGTTACTTCTGGTCAGAGGAAGGAGTTGTGACTATAGTGGGGACCCATGAGAAGTTCATCATGGAGGTCTTTGTTTGGGGCAAAGTTCTATTTCTCGCCTGGAAAGAGTAATCTTATAATTCATAAAGTGACATTTTTTCTTCTGTGGTTTTCTGTATGCTTCACTTTATAGTTTAAAAAGATTAAAATAAAAGCAATAAAGCAAAATAAGGCAAACAGAATTTTTAGACAACTTTTTTTAGTTGGCTAACAAATAAAGATAAACACAATTTGGTCTTATTTATAATCAAAGTAATTCAGATGGAAACCTCAGTACTGTACATTTTAGAATATGCTGCTCAAAGCTAGTGAATAAGCATCAAAATGAGTCCCTCTTTCATAACAAGTGACAGTAAGATTGGCACAACCAATTAGAACCTGCTTAGAAAACCAATCTGTATCGAGTTGTGTTTCAATATCTTTGGTCTGATAATTCTACTACTAGCGGTAGAGCCTTGGGAAATACAGTCAGCCCTGTTACTCAAAAACCTCCCAAATTCATAATCTTCACAGTCCTCCTCCAAGGAGGCTGCATGGAGCACCAATTCTAAAGGATGATATTGAACACCTACTGAGCCATCAATCCATTCATAACACCCTCCAGTTCTCAGAACTGTCTTACATTTTTTAGCAAATACCCTCCTCGGCAAATACCCTCCCCGTATCCAGCCAGTAACCTTGGAAGCAGCCATGTTCATACCACGTGGCCACAGATCACAGATGGCTGGTCCAGGACTGGGCATCTAACAGATGCTGAGCTGAGCTAGGAGGAGGGACTGAGTCCAAGTGATCGCAAAGGACATCTGACTGGTCTTTGAAACAGATGTCCACCCAGACAAAGTGTGGGCTGTTGTATTCCACTGCAGGGACTATGGAAATAGAGAATGCAGGTCAAGGGTAGGAGGAGGGCAGGACTGGCTCAGAGAGAAAGGGAGGGATGAGCACAGGAACACTTCCTGGCATGACACGGATGTATTCATGGATCCCTGAATACACGTCTCTATCACTGAAAGGAAAGCTGCTTTGTTTAGCTTAAACCAAGCTCTGGAGTGAGTCTCTTGCTTGTAATCGAACATAGGGAAGCTGATATTCATATCAGTGAAGAAAAACTGGATTCATAAACAATAAACAGGTTTCTTGGCTGCAGGACTTACAGGTTTTTTACATGACAATGTGCATTAAGAATATTCGAGAAGAATAAACAGGGAGCATTTCCAAAACTTATGAGAGCCCAGAAGCCCTTTCTCAGGGAATATTCATTGTCTCACTCATCAGATAATCACTGAGTACTGACTATGGGCCAGTACCAATCTAGAAGCTAGAGATACAGCTATGAAAGAGGCAGGAAGGATTCCTGTCTATATTCTAGTGGAAATAAGCCATGAACAAACAAATGAATGGGATAATTTCAAGTAAAAGCAGGAGGCAGGAAGAAGTTAAACAGGCTGGTAAATAGTTTAAAAGTTCACAAAACGTTTGAAACAACCTTTCTCAAGAGATAGAATCTATTTTCTCATTTCTTGAATGTGGGCTGTCTTGAGACTGACTCTGACCCGCAGAATGAGGCAGAAGTGTGAGTGGACACATTCCAAGCCTGGGTTCAGAGGGCTAGCAGCTCTATCAGCCTCATGGAGCCAACATGGGAAGAAGCCTATGAGAGCCGCTGGGGAAGGGAGGGTGCAGACAGCCATCCCAGCAGCCCCCACCTCCTAGCTAGGGCCTAAGGCATAAGTAAGCCACATGTGGGCAGCAGAACCGCCCAGCTGAGCCCAAACCAAAGCGCCTTTCCACAGAGTTGTGTGCAAATAATAAATGTTGCTTTTTATTCATTGTGGTAAAATACACCTCACCTAAAATTTACCATCTGCACCATTTTAAGTGGTTTAAGCACATGCATACTGTTGTGCTTCCATTTCAGAACCTTTCATTTTGGCAAAACTGAAATTCTATCCCCATTAAACACTTCTGCTTCACTGACTATGCTAAAGCCTTTGACTGTGTGGATCACAACAAACTGTGAAAAATTCTTAAAGAGATGGGAACATCAGACCACCTTACCTGCCTTTGGAGAAACCTATATGCAGGTCAAGAAGCAATAGTTAGAATCAAACATGGAACAACAGACTGATTCCAAATTGGGAAAGGAGTACATCAAGGCTGTATATTGTCACCCTGCTTATCTAACTTATATGCAGAATACATCATGTGAAATGCCAGGCTGGATGAAGCACACATTGGAATCAAGGTTGCTGGGAAAAATATCAATAACCTCAGATATGCAGATGACACCACCCTTATGACAAAAATCAAACACAAATTAAAGAGCCTCTTGATGAAGGTGAAAGAAGAGTGAAAAAGCTGGCTTAAAACTCAAAATTCAAAAAACTAAGATCATGGCAGGCAGTCCCATCACTTCATGGCAAATAGATAGGGAAACAATGGAAACAGTGACAGGCTTTATTTTCTTGGGCTTCAAGATCACTGCAGATGGTGAGTGCAGCCATGAAATTAAAAGACTCCCTGAAAGAAAAGCCATGACAAACCTAGACAACATATTAAAAAGCAGAGACATTGCTTTGCCAACAAAGGTCCATCTAGTCAAAGCTATGGTTCTTCCAATAGTCATGTATGGATGTGAGAGTTGGACCATAAAAAATGAGCACCAAAGAATTGATGCTTTCAAATTGCGGTGTTGGAGAAGACTCTTGAGAGTCCCTTGGACTGCAAGGAGATCAAATCAGTCGATCCTAAAGGAAATCAATCCTGAATATTCTTTGGAAAGACTGATGCTGAAGCTGAAGCTCCAATACTTTGGTCACCTGATGTGAAGAGTCGACTCATTGGAAAAGACCCTGATGCTGGAAAAGATAGAAGGCAGGAGCAGAAGGGGATGATAGAGGATGAGATGGTTGGATCGTATCACTGACTCAATGGACATGAGTTTGAGCAAACTCCAGGAAATGGTGATGGACAGGGAAGCCTGGAGTGCTGCAGTCCATAGTGGAGCAAAGAACCAGACATGACTGAGTGACTGAACAACAACAAATTAGACACTAACTCCACGTTCCCCTTCCCCCCAGGCCCTGGCAACCACCTTCATACCCTCTATGAACTGGATGACAACAGGCCCCTCATATGAGCACAGTCAGACAGCATCTGCCTTCTTGCAACTGGCTCATAATATCCTCAAGGTTCACCCATGTCAAAGCAGGTGTCAGAATTCCCTTTGCTTTCAAAGCTGAATGACACTCCATTTTACGGATGGACAACGTTTTGTTTATCCACTCATCCTTTGATGGACATTTAGGTCATTTCCTTTTTTGAATGGAGAATTAACACCAAGCTCAGACCAGGGGTCTCATCCTGGTACCAGAGCTCTGGTGCTGAGATCACTGGGTGAGCCTCAGAGAGGTCAGCTTGGTGACACGCCCATCATCACATAGCCAAGAAGTGTAGGGCAGGATTCAGACCCAGGCAGCCCAACTTCTGGGATCTTTCTACATCCTGGACTGTGATTCTGTACAAAACAAGAGTGTGACTCACAGCAACTTCAATGAAGGGACAAAACCATCTGGATATAGAAGTTCAGACTTATAAGACCCAAACTGGTAAACAGGCAAGGAACACCATCAGATATTCACATAAAAGAAAAGTGTGCACAAAATGTTTAACATAATTAGCAGTTGAAGCATTGTAATGTTCAATAGTAGACTGACTTTTATTCATCAAATTAGCAAGGATTTCATAGACGCAATAACACCCAATGGTGCAAACACACAGGGAGTGAGAGACACAGGGCAGTGGGCATGCAAATGGGTGCATTTTTGTGGAAAGCAATTGGGAAATAAGTGTCACGCTTTTGAAAAAAGTTGAAACTCTGACCCTGTAATGCCATTTCTGAAAATCTATGGAAATAATTAGAGATGCAAACAAATGTTATATACAAAAATGTTCACCAAACACAATTTATAGTAAAGCAAACGGAAAACCTAAGTGCCCAATAAAAAGGAAATAGCTATTACATTGTATGTTATGAGCCATTAAAAAGTTATTAATGAAGAGTAATGATTATTCATAAAATGTTAAGTGAAAAAAGAAGAATTCCAAGTAACTGCTACTGTATAACTATATAAGGCGAAAACTGTCTAAATAGGGGATGGAAAGCAATAATCTTTAACATTGGTAGTAAGTGGTGATTTGAGGGTAGGACCAGAGAGGAAAATCTTTTTTTCCTTCTCTTGATATTCTTTTTTTTTTGTATCATGGTGATGATACTTTTATAAGAAAACACAGCATATATATTTTAAAAATGGAAAATACCCCCCTTTTCTCCTTGAAGCATCTCATTTATTTGAGGCTGTCTCTTCAGAGAGCCTCAAAACTGCCCCCTATCTAGAGGGACCACTCATATCTGGTTCACTCTGTTCTCTTTGCTTCTGTGGGTCTTCAGTTCCGTTTACCTTCATTTGGTGTAACACACACTGTAAAGTTCCCACACTGTGAAGGGACATCCTCTGTGAGCCCACACAGAGGAGGGCCAGGATGGATACAGAGATGCACAAACATGATCCCCTCTGTCACAAGCTCAGAGTTTAACAGAAGAGCCAGACAGACAACAAGCGTCCTTCAAATCCAAAACACAAAGCAAAAGCGATGGAAAAGGTGTGCCAAACAGGCCCCAGTAACCTGCTATGGATATTCAAGGGATAAAGCAATTCTGATCAGGGAAATCAGAGGAGGTGATAGTTGAGCTGGGTATCAGAGAGAAGAAAGGGCATCCCTGGATGCAGGTATAGAGATACCAAGAACAAAGACCCAGCAGTGTAGCAGGTTTCAGGGGGTGGCATTCAGGATAATAAACACCCAGATGACTGTAGTGGGGAGCGAGAAATGAGGCTAGGTCAGTGGGGGCCTTGTGTGCAAGGCTCAGGAAATCAGGCTTTTTTCTATGACAGAAGGACTCTCCATAGGGTCTGAAGGAGAGGAAGAGACTCTTTAAGGAGGGTCCAATATTTCCATCGTTCATGTGGCAGGGTAGAGCTCACAGTTGGGCTCAGAACAGATGCAGTTAAAGAAATTCTTAACTCCACAAACCAGACCCACCAAAGATACAATGATTCCAGAACCATGCCCCGCTTCTGGGGTTTTAACTGACCTTTGTCCTGCACCAGGACCTCAAGCTCCTCCCGAACGCCATCGTACCAGCTGGTGATGTCCACATGGAGGGAGTAGTCACAGCAGGATTTGGTGTCTGCTGCTTCATGCCATTTCTCAAAGGAGGTCAGCAGGCTGGACCCAGGTTCAGGAACAACGTGGTCAACTGGGACAGAAAAATATGTGTCACATCCCAAGATGCTCAGGACCCAAGTTGTTCCAATGGTAGCCTCTTTCCTGCTATCATCATCACCATCACCTCCAATATCAGCATAACTACTGTGACAATCCCTTATCCCCCCATCACCATGATCATCACCACCACTTACATCATCCAGACCAACATCCTTAGCATCACCATCCTCTTCATCATCACTCTCACCATCATCAACATCAATGTTATTGTTGTCACCATCATTATCAAAATCATCAGCAGTGAAATGGTAACCACCATCTTAGTCTTCATTACCACCATTGCCACCACCACTGTTACTGTAATCTCATCTTCTTCCTCCTCATCGCCATCATTATCATGATTGCTTATTGAATGCTTACGATGTGTCACATACTGCCGCAAAGGCTTTATGTAAGTTATCTAATAAAATCCTCACAACTACCCTGTGTGAGTATAAATACCCCCACTTGGCAGATGAGGAAACTGAGGTTTAAAGTTGGTGAAAAACATCCAAGGTCATACAACTAGCAAGCAGTACAGAGAAGATTCCCAGAGTCTGGTCAGCTGTAAAGACTGGACCTTTTCCTGAGACTTCACGTTACCTTCTTGGGCATAGAATGCAAAGGTGAAAAGGACTTAAAAGAATATGAACTTCACCATCCCTTTTTCAAATAAAGTCTTAGATGTAAAGCATACCAGTGGGGAGAGAGCTGTCTAATTTTAAACCACAATGGGCTTTGCACATCCCTCTGATCCTGCCCTGTTTCTAACATCCACCCCTCACAGCCATAAACAGCAGGATCTGATCCCCACCCCCTTTCACTCCTCCACCCACATACAGCATCAAACTAGCCTTTGCTAATTTGACTTTCCAGTCCTCACTCTACTCAACCTCTCAGGACACGGCAAATCACTCTCTCCTTCTTTAAACTCACTCCTCCCTGGTTTCCACGGCAATATGATTTTCCAAGTTTGGACACTTTGTGTTATGCACCATTATCACAGCAGCAATACTGACTGACACAATCACTCCCCAGCTGTGAAAATTTCAGCAACTTATCTCTCTGAGCCTCTGCTTTCCCCATAGTCATTACAATACTTGTATCACTGGTTCCAAAGCTTTAGCCATCTGCACACCAGGTGCCCAGAGCAAAGAGCCTGATGCTGCTCACGATGCTGGGGATTTGAAAGAGAAGTCGCAGCCTATGGCCTAAAGCCGGGGTACGACTCACTGATCATTGTGGTCCCGCCCGCCAGCGCTGCCTTGGTCCCTTGGAAGAAGTCATCAGCAGCCGTCATCCCCTGGGAGGGCTTCTGCAGGTAGGTATTGACATCAATGCCTCCAGGAATAACCATCCGCCCATTGGCCTCAACGGTCTTCACTCCACCGGGAACGATTAAGTTCTCTCCTATTTGCCTGGAAACAGACAACAAAGACAGACTTTGGTTCTTAAAAAAAAAGGGGCTGCCAACTGTGCAGTTTCGGTTCCATGAGATAAACATTTCTGAGGCAGGTCCCACCCAGGGCGCCAGGAGGACAGAGGACACTCAGGCTGGTCCCTGCCCTCCAGGGGCTCACAGCCCAGTGAGAAGGAGAGACATATAAGCAGGTGTTTATCACAACCCAGTTCACACTGCGGGGCGGGGAGCACAAGGCGGGCCATTTCATCAGCCCTGGTGATCTGGGAGGGCTTCCAGAGGGAGGCAGGGGCAAAGCTGAACACGAGAGCTGTGAGACCAGCATCGGCCTCAAGTGGGACAGCATTCTCTGAACAGCTTGTCACTCAAGAGTACTTCAAAGATTTCTGGCAACTGCCTTGGGGACACAGAGATGGGCGATGGCAGGGAGGCAGAGTGACAAGTCCCCTTAGCTCTGCAAGTCCTCAAAGGCAAGGCTACAGGGTGAACTCTGACATTTCCAAATCCATATGTTGAAGTCCCTAGCCCTTCAGAATAAGACAATATTTGCAGAGAAGGCCTCTAAAGAGGTCATTAAGTTAAAACAAGGTCACTAGGGTGGGCCCTGACCCAACCTGACCGGGTATTCTTATGAGTAAAGAAGATTAGGACACAGACATTTCCAGGCAAGACCACGTGAGGACACAGAGAAGACGGGCATCCCAAGCCTCAGAAGAAACCAACCTACCCACACCCTGATCTCAGACATCTGGCCTCCAGAACTGGAAGAAACAAGTATCTGTTGTTTAAACCTCTCCGTCTGTGGACTCTTACATCAGCCCTGGCAAGCTGATACAGACATGCAATCCTCAGAGAAGACAGTTGTGAGCGCCGGCCTCAGGAAAGCTACTTAACCATCAGGCAGTAACACCGTAAAAGCTGCCGTGAGGGAGTCACACCGGAGGTGGCAGGCTTTTCTAGATAGACTGACCAGCCCTTCCGTTCCCCATGTGCTGGTGCAAACATCCTCGAGAAGGAGGGCAAATTCCAAAAGCTGGGGAAGGAGGAAGAAGAGCCTAAGAATCTCAAAGCCTTGCCCCTGTAGCATCTATTGGCTGTGTCTTGGGTGTTGGTACCAGAGTCAGGAGATGTATCCAGGGGCCAGTGGACGGATGGGGTGGGGCAGGGGTGGAGAAAGACCAGGACAGATTCAACAGCCTCCACGGCCAGGGCCCGCCTGAGACCACAAGCAATGGTATTTAAAAAAGAAATCCAGGGGCTTCCCTGGTGGCTCAGTGGTAAAGAACCCGCCTGCCAATACAGGAGACACGAGTTTGATCCCACATGCCGCGGAGCAGCTAAGTCCATGCACCACAACTACTGGGCCTGTGCTCTCGAGACTGGGAACCCAACGACTGAGCCCTCGTGCCGCAACAACTGGAACCTGAGCGCCCTAGAGCCCGTGCTCCACAACAAGAGAAGCCACTGGAATGAGCAGCTCATGCACTGCAACCAACAGCAGCCCTTGCTCGCCACAACTAGAGAAAAGCCTACATAGCAATGAAGACCCAGCACAGTCAAAAGTGCATAAATTAAGAAAATTTTTTAAAAAAGAAATCCAGCTGTGCTGAACTGTTGGGATTTGGCCCCAACATGAGTTCCTCTAGGTTATCCAAAAACATCAGTAATGAAGATGCAGGAAAATGTTGCTTCAGTGACCACAAACGTCAGGCACCAGAGTCCACACACCAGAGAAGCAGAAGCTCCTTGATCTTCTGGACTCCTGGGCCGGCTGCTTGGGGCACAGAGGTGACCGGGCTCTATGTGGGGGGCGTCTTCCAACAGAAGTGGAGCATCACACAGGCTGCCCTGAAAATGGAAACGGGTCTAGTCCAAGCACAGTGCCAAGGCCATGGTGAGCCCCCAGGAAATGTGAGCATATCTGCCAATTTCACCAGCACAACTGCAGCTGCTGCTATTGCTGCTTCTAATCACCAACCCTCCTCCCTCTAGAATTCCCATCATCATGTAGAGGATACTGCCGGGTCCAATCTCCCCACTGGCCATCTCCAAGATCACGAACGATGCCAAGAGCTGAAGGGAAGGGTTCAGGGACGTCACCCCCAAGTCTTAAAACAAGAGCCGTGAACCGCTATTATGCACTGACCTCAGGAGACTTTTCTAAGCCCTTTATGGAAGGTCTCATTCACGTTCACACTAGCTGTTGAAGACGACAGGGTGATGTTCAGAATGTGTAGCACTCACAAAGGAACAGGCACAGTCTGTGCATGTCAGAACGGACATGCAGACACCCCAGCACAGCCTTCCAGTGGGAACCAGCGGAGTCAAAGCCCATTCTGATCCTGGGCTGTGTGACTGGCCGCCACACCGCAGCGCCAACAAGGTCTACCCTTCACGGCCATTCTAACCAGGCAGATCGTCGCCTTTTTACAAACCCTCTCTCATCTCCTGCCAACAACTCATGAGGGAGGAAGTATTCAGATTTTTACAAAAGAGGAAAATGGAACTCAGACAGCAGCGCTAACTTGCCCAAGGCCACACAGTGAGTCAGTGCTGGGTCTGGATACAAGCTCGGTCTCCCCCAGGCTAATATCAGGCTCTGCCTGCCAAGCTCAGATGTCTTCCTTCTTCCCTTCCACAGAAGTTTCAGGTTCTCCCCAAACTGGGATTAAACTAAACGGGACGCCCAATGAGCCCCCATGAATGAGCAGGAGGACTCTCTGAGTGGTTCTCAGTGGCAATGTGGATGGAAGGAAAGGAAAGAAAGGAAGGAACTGGGAGAAGTGGACACTGGTCCCCAGCCTCATCACCCTCCCCACCATTCAGAAAAAAATCATCAGCCATCAGCATCTGATTCTCCAATGCTCAGCAAACTGGATGGAGCCCTCGATGAATCATAACAAATGCTGCACAAACATACTGAATGGCTTTTAGTAAAACCTGGTGAATGGCCGCAAGATGAAAGGATTCTTGAGGTTCAATCAGAGTGAAGAGGAATAACAGCCTCCTCGTGCCAGGCAGTTCCTTGGGCTCTCACTTCCACACCTCCTTCTCAGCCAGCAGGGACCTGGGCCCACGCGACCATCGAGACTCTGTAAGGCGTTCAGACAGAGCCACTTGCTCTGCTTGGTAAGGCAGGAAAGGCACCGCCAGTGCTTAGAAAGCTTTACAGCAACAGGGTTAAAAGTAAAGGCGTCTCCCACAAAGAGCTGATGAATCTTAGATTTATAGACACTGCTTATTTCCTGAATACCCTGGGTGGCCTAAGTCCTAAGTCTCCAGGGGTTCACGCAAACAGCAAGCACTTAATAAATGCAGCCCAACCTATGAGCATGGGGTCCATCTGCTCACATCCTGGACTGCGTCTTCCAACCCCCAACTGCACACGGCCGGTGGGAATACTGGTTCCATGAAAGGGTTCTCCGTGTCACTGTCCTCCATGCTCAGGACCCCAGAGGCCTCACATAAGTGAGGAGCTCAATGTGGAGCGGCGGTGCCTCATCTAAGCCGCAGTGACTCAGAAGCCTCACTTTACCAAGCATCTCACCACACTCCACCCCACCCCGCCACCCCTTTCTGGTTCCAGGCTGTACCGTGGCTGAGACTGAGGTCCCCACCATGTCACACTTGCTTCATCAACACTCTGGGGTCCCATCCATCCCTGGCACAGTGCTGGCCCTATGGGATGGCAGGCAATAAGGCAAGATTGCTCATCAGCAGCAAGGGCATTGGTGGAGGTGGTTGGGGGGAGGTGAGCACATTCAGCACAGAGGAACAGTCTGGGTTCTGGAAGGCTTCCTGGAGGAGGAGCCACACAAGCTGGGCCGGTAGGACAAACAGGAACTGGGAGGCAGGGGCAAGACATGAGGATGGGGGAGGGGTAAGGCATTTCAGATGGAGGATTTATGGATGCAAGTTTCCCAGGGGAAAACTGCTTGGCAAGTTCTGCAAAGGCCATTTTTAGTGCAGAGGGAACTGGCGGAGGGGGAGGGAATAAACTGGAAGAGGTAAGGCCTGAGCTGGACCGGAAATGGTCAGATCCATCCAGGACAAATCGGGGGAGGGGCAGGCAGAGGGAGGCTGGGAGGGGCTCAACGCTGCCCTGAGCACCTACTCTTCACACAGCTCTTTGCACAGATGGCCCCTTAATGCGCATGGCAATCCACAGCCTCCTCCTCCTCCTCCCCCCTCTTCCTCGGTCCCTTCCTCCCTCTCCTCCTCCTCCCCACCATCATCATCATCGTCAGAGGATACAGGGCCCTGGGATGAACCCACCAATAAACATTCATTCCTATTTGAACTTGACCTTGCTCATACCGCCCTGCCTTCTTTCCAGTGCCAGCTGCGCACGTTGGATCTGAGATGATCTCCGACTCTGCTCTTCCCAACTCCAGAAGAAGAGCCGAGCAGCAGGGTAAAATGTGGAAACCACGCAAAAGTCACTATCTGGTGTTAGGGGCTGAACAGTGTCCTCAAAACCCACATATTGAAGCCCTAACCCCCAGTAACTACGAATGTGACTGTGCTCGGAGACAAGGTCTTTAAAGGGGTGATTAGGTTAAAAAGAGGCTGTTAGGGCGGGTCCTGATGCAAGAGGGCTGTTGTCCTTATAAGAGGAGGACAAACCAGAGGCACATGCAGAGGAAAGGCCACGGCAAGAAGACGGCCATCTGTGGGGGTGGGCGTGGGGGAGAAGGCTCCAGAGGGAAGGGGCACGCCTGCGCCTCTAGCAGATTCACACTGTTGGACAGCAGAAAGCAACACGACATTGTAAAGCAATTACCCTCCAATTAAAAACAAATTTAAAAAAAAGAAGAAGACGGCCATCAGCAAGCTAGGGAGAGAGGCCTCAGGAGAAACCATCCTGTTGGCACTTCAGTGCAGGACTTCAGCCTCCAGAACTATGAGAAATAAATTTCCGTTGGGTAGGCCTCCCCATCAGGGGTATTGTGCTCTGGGAGCCCACCCAGACTCACACCTCTGGGATGTGCTACGCGGCTGAAGAGGCAGCCAGCCGGGAGGAGGCACAGGAGAACTCCAGAGTACCAAAGCATGTCTTGCCTTCACCAGACAAGAACCCTGCCTGGAGGCCAAACATGCCTCCTTCCCTCCCCCTGGCCCCCTCCACCCAATTCCAGAAACTCTGGGCCGGTAGGGGAAAAAAAGCTATGGATCCAGTCAGGTGTGCTAGGTTGGAATTGGGCCCTTGCCCCTAACTCATTCTGCAACGTGAGCAGTCACTTGCCCCCAGGGGCCCACCACCGCCAAGAACATAAGAAGGGCCAGTGTGTGTACTTCACAGCCTCTGTGGGCCTCACGGCCCATGTGAGCGCCACGCCAGGGAGCCTGGTGTTGTCATGGGGCGCTCAGCAAACACCAGCCCCTTCTCCACCCATGGTTTGCGCCTCCCCACACCTCTCCATCCCTGGGAGTCACAAGAGCCAGCACACTTATTCTGGGGCAGAATGCCAGCCTTCTACTCCCTCTAAAGGCTGGGCAGCTTAGGGAGACAGGCTCCTTAAAGGCTGTGTTTGGTCCACCCACTTTATGAGTCCATCTTCCAGGTAGACGTCGGCATAAAAGGACTGGTCATCGTTGATGATGCGTCCGCCCTTGATGAGGAGCCGGTCGCTCTGAAAAGCCAAGCAAAGTAGTAAAGGTCAGTATAGAAAAGCCAAGAAATGCTTTTTTCTAACTTTCAACATAAAATTTTCAACTCTTCTCTAAAGTAAAGAAATGGCCTTAAAAAGTCCCCTGTGAGCCTTCATCCTGATTCTTTCAAGACATCATCCTTCTTTCACCTCTTTCCCCCCTTAAAAACTAGCTTTGATTTGCTGAGATATTTTAAAGCAAATCTCAAATATGGTATCATTTCACCCATAAATGCTTTACTACATAATGTTAGGCAATAAAAAAAAAAAAGCTACGATCCATTATCCCAACAAACCCAGTCATCATCAATTCCTTCAGCTCAGTTAATAACCGGGCCATATTCAACTTTACTTGATTGTCTCAAAAATGTCCTTTTACAGTGGGGCTCTGTGAAGAAAATCCACCCAAAGTGCCCATAGCACATCCAGCCCACAATTCTCTGTAGTCCACTGAAATCTGTACCATTTCCTCCTTCTTTTAAATGTCATTCATTTGTGGAGGAAACTGGGTCATTTGTAAATAGAACAAGAATTTCTTCAGGCATTATTATTGAAATTAACAAAACTCAATTTAAAGACATTTCAAACAAGTGAAATGGCCAAAATAATAAAGTGACATCCCCCAGGAAAAACACCTCCAATCAGAGTTCTGATGTTTCTTCCCGATTTCCCTCTACTTCTATACTTGTGATTCTAGCGCACCTAGTCATTCACTCACCCATGCACCTACTAGCCCAGGAGCCTGGAAGAACAGGAGAAGAATGAGCTCTTGTGGAGCTGGTGAGGGACAGACAGAGGTTTAAAAAATCTGGAAATATGTCGGGTTCAAAAAAGAAGAAGTATAGGGTCCCCATCATGGGCACAAAGCGAAAGGGCTTCTGATCTTATTGGGGAGTCAGGTAAGACAAGCTCAGATCTAGAAAATAATTCCACATAAGCTGGACCAAAGGGTGAGGAAGAAGGCCAGTAGGGTGAATGCTGAGTACCTGGGCAGAAAGAACTGACATGCCAAGGCCCAGAGGCAGCAAAGAATATAGCCAATTCTAGGAGCTAGAAAGAACACACAGTTGTGTCCTTTCTGCATTTTACCATAAGCCTGTCTCAAGTTATTTCATGTTCTGCTTAAGCATAATTTTAAAGGGGTTACAAAATATTTCATTTTATGGATACACAATAGACTGTTAATTATTCCCCCATGGTTTTTTTTTTTTTTAATGTTTCACATGATACATATTTCTACAATGAACATCTTTGTGTATAAAGTTTTTCCTTTAATTTGGACTATCTGTTAAGCTAAATTCTCAGAAATTTAACAACTGAGTTCAAAAGTATAAATGGTGCTTGCATCCCTTGACAAATATAACCAGACTGCTTTCCAATAGTACCTCTCCAAGTTGCCATCCTGAGACCACCAAAACACCCTTGGCTGTCATTAATATTTGCTAATTTGCATTTCTCGGAGGCCGAGAACATTTCCTGCCAGGTGCCTATTTACTGTTTGTATTATCTCCTAGCTGGAGATGTGGTGATAGATAAAGCACAGCCTCTGCCCTTAACCCCAGCCCTTGGGTAGGAAGCCAATTGTTACTGTTATAGCAAACAATAACAATTCAGAGCAGCCACCTCAGAGGGAGGGTCTTGCCTGCGTTCCTCTGAAAAGGGAGCCTGAGATGACATTTTAGAGGCAAGCAGTGATTCTGGGAGGTGATTCCAGGAAGCGGAGTAAGGGAGGCAGGCATGGAAATCCAATACAGGGTACTCATTGATCCAGCTAACACTGTGAGTAACTGGGGCTATAGATCCCACCAGGGCCCCCTGAGGAACCCTCTAAATATAGACTGCGCCTCAGGTGGGTCCCAGTGTCCCCACGGCACTGACCACGAGAGGAAGGCAGAGGATGCTGCGTAAGCCTAGAAAAGAAGGCTGTCCCCCAAATTAAGGAATGAGCAAATGGAGCGCGTGCATGCATGCGCACTCAGTCATGTCCAGCCCGTCCCGACCCCAGGGACTGCAGCCCGCCAGGCTCCTCTGTCCATGTAATTCTCCAGGCAAGAATACTGGAGGGGGATTGCCATTTCCTATCCCGAGGGGAATCTTCCCGACTCAGGGATCAAACCCGCATCTCCTGCATCTCCTGCGTTGGCGGGGCTTCCCACGGGGCTCAGTGTTAAAAGACAAGCACCGGATACATCTCAGTGACTAAACAAAGAAACAACAAGCTAAAGAATCAGCAAAGGCTTGCTGAGCAGAAACACAGCCTGCAGCCTGCTGCTCAGAACCCTCCAGTGGGTTCTTGCATCGGTACGTTTCCTTCAGAGTGAAGGCTAAGTTAGTGAGACCCCACTTAATCTGGAATCCTACTGTGTAGGCAAAATTCACTCTCTCACTTGCGTCAGCCAGGTCCCTGCTCAATGTCACCTGAGGGTCCTCCCTTCGGCTGAGTTGTTTGGGACACCTTACACCCCTGTGTCGCCTGCAGACCCCTCACCTCTTACCCACTTTATGTTTACACAGTTCTTAACACAGTACATCTGACCGTCTATATTTACACCTTTGTTTAAAAATGTGCCTTGTCGCCCTGATATCAGAGGTGTGTTTCCCCCACTGGCTGTAGCAGGTACAACTCACAGGGAACCAAGTGCATTTGTGTTGCTGTGGAAGGATGGTACCACCTACAGTAGTCCCTGCAGTTCCCTCAGAGACTCGATTCCATGAGGGCAGAGATTTCATCTGTTTTCTTCACAGCTGGATCTCCAACACCTTGGGCACAGCCTGGCAGGATAGATGAATGGGTGAACGCCTGAAGTGGTTCTCGGAGGATGACTGGGTAAAGATGGAGGAAAAAGGCATCGCGGCCATGAGACAAAGAACTATGAGCCGTCAGCCAAGGAAGAGAAGTTATGTCCTGTTCTCCAGGAAGAGGGTCTCCGGAGGAAAGGGCTTCAAGCTCAGTCACCCACAGGCCCAACCACCTGCCTCTTATCTTTAAGACAGAAGCCAGGACCGAAGGAAAGAGCCCTGGGCACTGTGTATCCAGAGGCAGAGACAGACTGTTGTGCAGTTTTCTCGGGCACCAGAAAGCAGAGAACTGTGAGTCACTGGCAGCTGGCGCCTGGTTTCTGGAACACGGTCTCCCGTGGGCAGCCGTCTGTCTTGTCACATTTAATAGAGGGCTTTTCAGGCTAATCCTGAAAGGTGGTGTTTAATGCGCTGCTCACCAGAAGATCAGCCCCACCCAACTCTGCTCTTCCTAGAATCAGATGCTGAAATCCCCACCCCACTCCCCAGCTACCAGCAGATATGATGTGTAGCTACTATCAGGGTCCTGGCTCTTGCTGTTCTCAGGGGCCAGCCTATTTCTAAAAACAATAAGCTCACAGCAGAAGGCAAGAGCTGATGTGACTTCTTTTTTCTTCCTTCAAATGAGTAGCGTGTTGGCCTTTCAACTGACACTTTCAAAAGCACATTCTTTGGAACTCTAGCCCAGTGGGGTTTTAGTAGATGTTGATCCAAAAGGGGATTCCCAGGTGCAGTGAGTTTAGAAAATTCTGGGTTAAAGAGATGCAGAGATCGTTTTCATGTCAGGAATTCCCAGATCCTTTACTGCTGATGTGAAATGTGAATATTCAAGAGGGGAACTGAGTTGATCTTTTCCAAATTTAGACCCTTTTCATTCTGTGGGACACCTGAGGAGGGTACTTTTTCTCAGAAGACATCTCAGGAAATGCGCTTTATGGCTGCGGCACTCTCCACGCCTGTTTGTGCTGAATGGTTCTCAGGGAATGTGAGGTCCCATTGACCACAGATGGAAACGGAGCTCAAGATAGGTTGACCTCTCAAATTCACAAAGTCAACATGGGTGGAGATCAGACCCAAGGTTTCCTAACTTCCTGTCCAGCGTTCACTCCATCAAACACACTTTCGTCACGTTTCTAAACATTTTCCCCCATTTGAGGGCTTTCCTAGGGGCTCAGCAGTAAAGAATCCGCCTGCAATGCAGGAGTTGCAGGAGAGGCAGGTTTGGCTCCTGGAAGAAGGCATGGCAACCTACTCCAGTATTCTTGCCTGGAGAACCCCATGGACAGAGGTGTCTAGTGGGCTACAAAGAGGGTCGCAAAGAGACACGACTAATGTGACTTAGCACACACACACATGCTGGAAGCCATAACAACCCGTAATCAGATGCAATTCAGAAAGAACCCGAGGACCTAGCTCTCTAGGACTCCCTTTCTTCATGCAGGAAGTGTGAGTGAAAAACCCTACAGAGCTGTACTTCCCTCCAAACAGTAAATTTTATGACACATAATATTGAAGAGTGTAATCAAAATCACACATTTAAAAGAAAAATACCAACACCCTGCCTCTCCCAGGATTACCACAAGGAGCAGTCAACAGATATAAACAATGACAAACTCCGTACAAAAACCACTGTTTAAATATCTTGAAAGAAAATGAAATACCTCATTAAAAATTCAACAAAAATCTAACAGCAAGGGTATGTCAGAAACTGCCCACTTCTTCCACGGTGACAGCAGTAACCTAAAGAGACTTACACTCATCATGGCTCACATCCCTGGATCAGTGTTGTATGAGAACAAAACGTTCAGAGTCAGACAGATGCAGCTTCCAATCCCTGCCCATTTGCTTTCCATGTGACTTAACCTGCCTGAGCCTCAGTTTCTTCGTCTATAAAATGGGGACAATTGTCCCTGCCTCATAGGACTGTGGGAGAACCCCACAGGGGTATGTATATAAAGTGCTTTGCCCAGGCCTGCCACTGGTGAATCCTCAGCGGAGCTACACATTGTTTATTCTTTGCCATTTTCTGCAGCAGGAATTACACTCAATAAATATTTGCTTAAGAAATGAGTACATGCAGCTAAAAAAAGAAAATCTTGCCCTTAAGAGTTCTAAGGCCAGTGGGGGAGCCTGAATCATAACCAGACCTTCGCACCCCAGTGTGGGAAGGGCCTGGACGGAGG